TAATACATGCAAGTTTCCGTACATTTTTTTGGGTCCAATGACGATTTCTGGCGGGGTTTTGGATTTCTGTAGAGAGTCAGGTCCCGCCGAGAGCTCACCCCACTCCGAGTCCAACCGATTCAAAAGAAGTTTGATATCAATTCATACAGAACTTCTACAAGACAATCATATCAAAAAGACAACTTCAATTTCATCCAAAATCAACTTATACCCAAACCATTTTTCGTATTACCAGAAAACTAGCAACCATGCCTCGTCAATTTTTCGTCGGAGGTAACTTCAAGATGTGAGAGCTTTTGTTTACTTTCTCCCCCCACCCAGCAAAAAGGATTTCAGCTAATTTTTGCTCTCATCAGGAATGGATCTGTTGATTCCATTAAGAAGATTGTTGGAAACTTGAACGATGCTAAGTTGGACCCAAACACTGGTATGTATCTACCTTAGTTTGTGTTCATCCATTTGTTGAGGATGGAGAGGAATTTGTTGACCCTACATACCCCTCTATCAAGCTCCTACATTTCTATCTAGAATTTTGCTAACACTCTATTTAATTAGAGGTTGTCATTGCTCCACCTGCTCTTTACCTTCTCCTTACCCGCGAGCACTTGAGACCCGGACTTGAGGTCGCTGCACAAAACGTTTTCGATAAGCCAAATGGAGCTTTCACTGGTGAAATCTCCGTTGAGCAACTCAAGGACAGCAACATTACCTGGACACTTCTCGGACACTCTGAACGTCGTGTCATTCTCCAAGAAGATGATTCATTTGTAGCATGCAAGACCAAGGCTGCTCTTGATGGAGGAGTCGGTGTTATTTTCTGCTGCGGAGAGACCCTTGAGCAAAGAGAGTCTAACAAGACAATCGAGGTTGTTACCGCACAATTGAAGGCTGTCAAGGATAAGCTTCAAGACTGGTCAAAGATCGTCATTGCATATGAGCCAATCTGGGCTATTGGTACCGGAAAGGTTGCTTCCACCGAACAAGCACAAGAGGTACACGCCGCTATTCGTTCCTGGTTGAAGAAGGAGGTTAGCGAGAAGGTTGCAGAGGAGACCAGAATCATCTACGGTGGAAGTGTTAGCGAGAAGAACTGCAAGGATTTGAGCAAGCAAGAGGATATCGATGGGTTCTTGGTTGGAGGTGCTTCATTGAAGCCAGCTTTCGTTGATATTATCAACAGCCACTTGTAAGTGGTTTTAGGATTTCATGAATTACGACTGTAAATTGGGTATATACCCTACCAGGCAATAAAAAAGACCTGGCAGTATGATATGTTTTCAGGAAATATCCACTACCTTAAAGCCACTGCTAGTCTCATGCTCGTTATATGTGAGAATTCTAATGTATCGATAGATCTGTGAAAGGTGACAGTAAGATGTGAAGTATTATACAACGTTTCGGAATATATGATCTGGCATCTGGCAGGTAGTAGTTTGACGGGGGCTATCATAGCAAGCTTACATGCACAGCACTCTTCATACTTTGGGCAGCACCCATGTTCTTCACTCAGATCAAATGCTGGTGATCCGATCCTTAATGTTTTGATATGCATTTTTATGATAACTGTCTTGTATATTTCTATGGGCACTAGTTCCTGGCATAACCGGACTTACACTCACTGCCAATCATTGTTGTAACAATGAAGCCCACGAAATGACTGAACGGAAAGACAGCGAGGTAGATCAGATGCTAGCATCGACAGAAATGTCGATAATGTGTAGAAAAGCGTGGCTTCAATAAGTTACTCAACTCGTAACCATAGCCATAACATTCATGCAGTCGAGATCTTCGACATAGGACTATCGGAACCCATGATTTCCTATCCTTAACGCCAGTAATGCTGTTATGTATAATACAACAATCTTCCCCATGTTCCCCCCTCAAACCTTAATTCCACCACCATGATAAGGACTCCAAATACCTCTAACACTCTCGTTGATACTCTTCACGGGCTTCTTGACTCTCTTTAGCTTTTCTCCACTCGCATCTCTGAGCAGCTCTGCCTTTTTTAATATCTGTCCCATTTCTAGATTTCTGACGCAAATGGCCTTCTCGCGACCATTGATATAATGACCGATAATGACTGGGTGTTTGGCGGGTCGAGGGGAGACAGTAATTTCGATTTGAGGATTGGCTTTCGCGAAGCCCGGCAAGGAATTTTTGATGAAGGTACTGTGGCAGTATAAGCGTTAGAGCAAATTCAAAGTTCGAGAATACAACTTACTTCATGCCCTTAGAACTACCAGCCCAATCGCAGTAATGAAAATCCATTTTTGTACATTGGAGAATGAAGGCGCCGACACCATTCTGGTTGGGATGTTAGCAATCTAGAATTGCATGCAAGAACTAATTATATGCATACCTGGCCAATGGTTGTTTTCCTTAATCCTGTAATCCTCATTTTGACTGTTGTGCTAACGTCAAATTATAAATTCCAAATTTCAGACAGCATTCGACATATTGAGGTTCAAGTGAAATAAATTCTTGATCACGTGATTGTAATATTTTAAGCTTAGGAGCTCAAATCTCAGGTTACCATTAGGCGTCCTGGCTGCTGCGACGCGACACGGTTCCTCACAATTATCTTCATCATATAGTTCAGCAGCATTGTTTTGCAGTTATCCTAAAGACTGTAAATTCATCATTGCGAAGACTTTGGGAATCATTAATAGCCCACAATGACCGATAAACTCCCACCAAACCTCCTTGCGCTTTTCGCGCCTCGACCCCCTTTGCGATGGGTTCCGCCTTCAGACTTTGCCCCAGAGGATCGCAAAACTGCCAATATCACTGGCCTTGCTGCCTTTCTCCCAGCTCTTCAAGAGTATAAGGAGACTGACGTTTACGAGCCCACCGAGAGCTGGCTTCAGAGAAAAGACCGTGTTAAGCTGGAGAAGAAGGCCTCACACGAAAAGATTATTCAGGAAGCCCCAAAATTATGTGAGGGCCACCCTTTATGTCCTACATCAATATTTCATCACCCTCTTATTCTTCTAGAATTTCTTGAACCATTGCTGATGTTTTTGCTTGTGTAGTCAAACCATCTGAGGATCCAAATATTCGAGGAGATGCTTTCAAAACACTTATTGTCAGTCGATTGGATTATGATGCCACTGAAAAGGATTTGGAGCGCGAGTTTGGTCGATTTGGACCCATCGAGAGAGTAAGCTTACTTTAGTTATTATGCTGAGTATACTATGTTAACCTTTATGTTTTACAGATTCGCATAGTCGTTGATACTCATCAACATGAAAAGCCTGGAAAGAAGATCAAGAAGCATCGCGGTTACGCATTTGTAGTTTTCGAACGAGAGAAGGACATGAGAGGTAAAGCCGAACACAACCCCATATTCCCCATAAACAAATTGCTTAAATGCACAATTGGCATAAAGATTTGGTTATCCCACTTCTTGTCTTCGCTTTTCCTTTCTTCCTGTTACCCAGATCAAGGTATATGAATATGGGTAAATGACTGACAAACGCGCCTTGCTCGCGCTTCGTGAATAGCTGGTTTAGAAAACTGTGACGGTATCAGAATTAAAGATCGTCGAATCAAGGTAGATGTCGAAAGAGGTCGGACCGTAAAAGGCTGGTTACCACGTCGTCTCGGAGGTGGCCTTGGAGGTCGTGGATATACAAAGTCCGCTTCTTCACGACCAATGGGTCCAGGTGGTTTCAATGGACCTCCTGGAGGCCCTGGCGGTTTCCGAGGTGGCTTCCGAGGTGGATTTGATGGAGGCAGAGGTCGTGGTGGATTTAGGGGAGGTTTCGATCGAGGTGGATTTGGAGGAGGTGGTGGTGGTGGAGGACGAGGAGGAATTGGCTTTCAAGGCCGTGGAGGATTCGGCGATAGAGGTGATCGTGGTGGGTATGGAGGCGGAGGCGGAGGCGGAGGATCCAATGGCTATGCTCCTCCTAACGCACCAGCTGGCCCAGGGGGTGGTGGCCGTGGAGGTTTCAATGGGGGTGGTGGTTATGGTGGAAGAGGAGGTGGAGGCTTTGGAGCAGGATCACCAGATCGAAATGGTCCTGGAGGAGCAAGTGGTGGGTATGAATCTCGTGGAGGCCGCTCATATGATGACAGATCCGGCGGATACCGTGGCAACAGCAACCGTGGCTATGGTGATCGCGATGGAGGTCCTCCTCGTGGAGGTAGTGGCAGTAATATGGAGCCGGTAAGACCCCGAGATGGTAGCGGATACCGTGATAGAGATGGACCCAGAGACGGACCCAGAGATGGCCCTAGAGATGGAGGGTATGGCGGACGACCACGCGAAGACGATTCACGAAAGAGACCTTATGACAGTAACGGTTATGAGGAGGATCCTCGTAAATTGCGAAGGTATTAGATACAATGAGACTGGCTGGTGGGTTCAACAGTCTTGTGGTGGGTTTTCTTCGAATCTTCCATCTTTTCTCCCTTCCTCAACAGGGGTAAGCGGTTCTTCGATCTCAAGTTTTCACCCAAGGTAGTGTTGTCGCCTAATCTACTTGCATGCTTTTCGACGGCGTTTTCACAGTACGGACAAAAAGCAGTTTTCACTTACGACCAACCTTTTCCCGCATGATAACTGTACATGCTACAAAAGGCTTTACAACATTTTCGACACTCAGCAACTCGACATTTCTCTTGAATGGTTTGGTATGATGTGGTTGGTTTTTCTTTTACGCATTTGGGGCTTACTTTGATCATGGGAGGTACGATCAGAGGTAAGAAAAAGGTATTACCTGACCATCCTCGTTTAGTGCTTTTGCAAATTTGTCATTTAGCTGGGAATACTGTTTGTATGATCAAAGAAGGAATGAAGTTCAAGGGGTAAGATGGATAGCTCAGGCATAGCACTCAGGCAACTGCTGTTTTAATTTTTGAAGTACACATATATTCCATAACAAAAACGTGGCGCCGGTAAACGCCTCATAGTCTAGTCTTCTTTTGACTGTATGATAGTTTAGAACAGAAACGACGATCCGAAATGCCTTTTTTGCTTTCTTTAATATTTTTTACTCGCTCATTTCCGTAGCCTCTATTTCCGTTACTTCTTGATTGGATGCACTCCAGTATCTATTTCAAAATTAGAAAACAATTTTGTGAAGAGAAAATGAATGAAGACTTACGCAAGTAATTGAACACTGAAATCTGCAGTAGCCACACCAAACAACTTCAATAATCTTGTTTGCCTACTATCCAATACATCACCTTCATTACAAACACAGTAAGGATTCTCCAGAGTAATCTTTCCCTTAGTCAAGGTAGTCGGTACGTTCAATCTTCTCAATTCTGGTTCCAAACTATGCGCCATGGGGACATCGTTCTCGGCGGCGATCTCTCCTCCCATACTGTAGACTATTCCTGCGGGAATGGTGAAGTTTCTGCTAGCTTCTGTGCCGGCACGAGCGAAATCTGTTTTGGAGAGATCTTGGAAGAAAGTGATAATGGAGGAGGGTTCGCGGTTGGTAAAGAGAAGTCCAACGTTGCCGACTAGATGGGGGGAGAGGAGGGAGGTGTTGGGTTGGTATTCGGAGGAGGCGTCGCTGCCGAGGGCTTTGGCCATTACTTTTGTTTTTCCAAAGAAGAGTCTGATGGGTATGGGTGTTAGTATAGTTTTTTATGTGGTAGATGTGGTGATTGAGAATTTCCAATCCGATTGACTCCTGATGCTCGAGTTTCAATTGGATTGCCATCTTCCCTTCTCTTCTTTCGCTTTGGCTTAACTCATCCGCCATCATCATACCATATTATATCATGTCCATCCCCAAAACGACAGCATCCCTCGAATCTCCAAATTGATCAAACAAGAACCAAATAAATAACATAACACATACCGACAATCGCTCAATTCATTCCTAACATCTTTCAAATAGGTATTTCTCATATTATCCACACTAAACACAAAACAATGCTGATAACTATCGAGCGACTCGCGCACATTGGCAAAGAGTTTGAGCGAAAGCTCCTTTCCTTTTTTATCGACTTTGGTGAGATGAACGACGCGCGCGCGCTTGGATTTAGGCATTTTGATTATCTGTTATGGTGTTTGTGGTTGGGAAAGAAAGGGTAGTGTATCTGAGAAGAGGTGATGAAATTTAATAGAGAATTGCGGTTTTCGATATGGATGGAGGTAATTTTTTATTTTTCACAAGCTTGCGATTGATAGTTGATAAGATTTCAGACTAGACTTATCGAGGCTTAGTGGAGAGAGTTTATGCAGGGATCAGAGTGGGGGGTTAACGTTGTTCCGGATTTTTATGTTTTGAGCTGCAATTGGATGGATGGGATTCGATTGGATTTAGGTATTTATTACTCTGTTTATGAATTGGTGCAGACTTTGTCCCTCTTCTTCTCTAAATATCAGAGATTGATGTGTTGATTTCTGGGTCAAGCTTGTGCGGAGATGTTGGAGTTCATGGATTATGTGCAATTTGCATTTTACAATGCGACGAAATGGAATTATGAGAATTCATATTCGCAGTTGACTGCTACTGCCAAAGGTATCTGCTTCTTTTTGTCTACCTACCTTGACTTTCTACCTGCATTTGAAGCTTCTTTTCATAGCTTGTTGTTCTTTAACTCACTAACTTTCCTGGAATAAAGCACTTCTGGATTTTGAAACCCCAGGCGGTCTGCGATTTAATCTCTCGTCACTCAGCTCTCCCAACTTCGCAACTTCATATGCACTGGGTAGTGTCGGGCTTGTAGATGGCTCTCTTTCCTACCTTTATTCCTCGTTGCCTCTCCGTACCACTTCGCAGAGTGCGAAGATCGATTTATATCAGATAATACGGGGATATCGACAAATCCAGGAGCTTAGAAAGGTCGATGAATCGTGGATGTGGGAGCAATGGCACGGGGGTAGACGAGTTGATCAACGGGATACATTACTTTATGGACGACTTTATTTACCGCAGAGTACGCTTGAAGCGTTATATTTGAGAAGGATTAGTCCGACGCAGCAAGTGAGGATTACGGCTGTTAGTGATAGTAGGCTGAGAAATGGAGGAACGATGTTAGCTTTGCATCAGTATGATACAGGGAAATATAGTACCGAGACATTGTATTCGACTGATGGGGGGTTATTAGGATTGAGAGGATTGTATAATTTTGGGCCGGATCCAAGGAAAGAAATTACGGAGCCGCCAAAACAGATGTCCAGGATTGATGATAAATTCTATGGACGCTTCAGCGCAGGAGCGGAGCTTTATTATGGAACTTTGAACAAATCGGGAGGTGTTAGTGTTGGAGGAAGGTTTGCCACATTGCCGGCGCATAAGGGGATACCTTTGACAGCCACTTTGACGCTCAATCCATTGATGGGAAATATCAGTTCGACGTATGCTGTAAAAGCAGGTAAGAACCTATCCCTATGTTCAAGGTTAGACTTCAATGTCTATAGCTACGAGAGCGATTTAGTCCTTGGATGCGAATTGTGGAAGATGAAAGCACCGGTCGAGGAGCCCAGAGTGAGGAGTATGGAAGCGAAGCTTGCATGGAAACTCGACGAAGTGGATTTAGAAAAGGAGAAGAAACCTGAAGAGGTCGCCGGAGTCCTAAAAGCAAGAATTGACCAGAACCTGAAGGTTGGTTTGGTATGGGAGGGTAGAGTCAAGGAGTTATTGTTTACTCTGGGAACTTCGATTGATATGAAGAGGAGAGATCAACCATTCAAAGCCTTGGGACTAGAATTGCAATATTCTTCGTGAACACTTCGCTTGTTCGAGTACCTAGGTAGTGCCAACACATTTTGTTTCACAGGGCTGATATAGTGCCGCTCCCTTTAGGCGAACTCGGGAAGATCAGGCAAGGTTGATATTCTTGTGAAACACAAGCAAAATCCGAAAAGAACTCGACTCGTACAGCAACGTCTCGACCAAGACACCGGAAAATGCCGGCGTGCCATGTCGTACTGACAATATGGATGGCTGAGAGTGAAAAATGTCATTCGGAAGACTACCTTGGCGACATCGGATTTATGGTGTCGCGAACTTTGCAATCATTCCGCGATCCCAATCAAATATCGGAATCAGAAACTCCCTCGCACCATCTTTAGGGATACACCGTAATTAGATGCTATGGAGAGCAATTCGATGGTCGTACATGAACAGGATGGCTGTGAACGCAACAGAACAGTAATGTTTGATAAGATGATCAATCTATGAAAGCATTGGCTGTTATAAAATTAGCAGACTATCCAACGATAGAAAAGGCAAGGTTGTAGGATAAGATATTCCAGCCCCGATCTTGAGAAGGAAATCATGAGATAAGAGGATCCACACGAGAATGAAATACTGTTAAACTCCACGTCCCAAATGGAGACACGGAGACTGAGGGAGAATAATCCACAGATGTGATTCACGTGATATAAACCTTTCCGTTTGTTGTCTCCCGAGGTCGGAGATTGTTCCGAATGGTTACAATTTTTATATATCACCACCTAGTAGATGGAAGCTAATAATATGATGATAATCGACATAATGCGCAGCACATGCAACGGACCGCTTCGTGCACGCGGCACCACCAGACTTTTGTACATTTAGTGTTACCTTGTTGTAACGTCATTTGGAAGAACGTCCATCTTATCTTTGAATCAATGTCTCTCTTTTGACAGGATCACCTGCATTTTGACATATCGACTATCGGTCAAATGTCATCCAAGTACTTTTGTTACCCGAACTCCAACATATAAAATGATCCGAGCCGGTCACTCTCAGATGAAAAGAAAATATTATGCGCGTAGCCGCTGCAGGCGACCGAGAAGTAATTTCCTCGACATTGATGTCTTCCGGTACTTTGATGCGACACTATTATACCATCGGTATCTCATATCTAACCAAAAAGAATAATGGTCATGGCACATGAAGTACTCAAGTATTGACATACGACATACTCCGTACTGACATAATGACCGCATTACTAAGTCAAGTAAGAGGGAAAAAGCTGCAAAAGGATTTTTAACTTTTTAAGGGACTGAAGCTTTTCTCAGACGTTTATCAATTCCATATCCAATCACAATGATTAGAATTGATAATTCCAAGGCTGGTTTTGGACAGATGGGAGTCAGCCTTAACCATTATGAGTTAGCCTTGTAATATATATGGTTTACTCAGCTTGGCTATCTAGTATCTACCCATCAAGGTTCTCAATTTCATGAATTTCACTGAATCTCTCGTCGTTTGTTTTCCCCCCTCTCCTCTAGCATTTTCTTTTCGACTTTCCTTTTGATACACTCCTATCGAGTCTAGGTATAATAATATGATACAATCTCAAATCTATCTCCGTACCTCCTCTTTTCAGTGAAGACTAGATAATGAATCATCTCTTCTCTCCTCGCCTTTCCTATTTCTTTCTTCACTGATATCCTTTTCATGCTTTCATACTTTCACATTTTTATACTTTGATACCCCTCAGAATCGCATGTAAATAAATATATTGTTGTACATACCTAGTACCTACCCATTAACGTATATCTATATCTATCTATATCCATATATATATATATATCTATATATATTGCTTTTTTCCCCTTGTTGAATAACAGTTCAGCTGTGATATAAATTGAATAAAGCGGTGATTGTTAGTTGGAACTGTTCCAGTTTTCACAAACATTTCATTCAGCTACCTCACAAGGTACTTGCCCAGGTATACTTGCTTCTTTCCATTACCAATCCTATCTCTCTCTTAAAAACTCGACAAATACCCCATATAAATGTACAATCTGCTAATCCAACTTTTCAACTAGCTACGGAGATTCCCACGACCATACAACCTTTGGATTTACTGCTACACGATTGCAACTAACTTCGTCTACGCAATCATCACCCTCGGTAAATCTCCACTTGGACGACGTTCATCAATCCTATTGAAGCTTTTCAAATAATCAAACATACTTTCAACGTCCAAGCTTAGCAGGGAATACAGCATCCCCCTAAAGATATCCGACGAGAATACATAGAAGACGGCAGATATAAGTTAAACGATCATTCAGGAAGATAGGATATCTGCGAGTGGCAGAAGGAGTTGCAGTTGGCGATCATGTCGGAATATACTGTGGAAGTTACGTGTGGGAGTGGAAATGAATATGATGGACGGATGGGTATACGGATATCTTCCATATTCGTGATTGGATTTGGTTCCATGATGGGTATGTTCCCCCTTGCTGGATTATATGAACTTTCATTTTGCGAGAATACCTTAAACTAACTTGATTTGTAGGTGCTCTTCTACCAATCGCTGCTGCAAGAACGAAAAGAATGAGTGTTCCACCTTTGGCATTCTTTATCACTAAGTATTTCGGATCGGGTGTCATTATAGCTACCGCTTTCATACATGTAAGTATTAGTCCTCTCTCTTTTTTTCTCATATCACGTTTAGATGGGGTCCGAGAATTTCATATACATTTGTGCTAATCAAACCATAGTTACTTGCTCCCGCTTCGGCCAATCTAGCTTCCCCGTGTTTAGAAGGCACAATCACAGAATATGATTGGGCTGAAGGTATTTGCCTTATGACTATTTTTAGCATGTTCTTTATTGAGCTCTTGGCGTCACGATTTGATGTATTTGGACAAGATGATCATGATCTGGAAGCAGCCGATCCTGCAAGGGATCTTATCAGACGAACTACCCGCGATGAGAAAGTTGACGCATTAAAAACATCTTCTCCCTCAGATGGTAACAGTTACAGAGAAACCGGCGACAGCCCTCAAGCTTCCAATGCCGTACTAGAACAACATGATCACGAAAGCTCAATTACCCGGATACCGACATCTGGAGAAGGACCATCCAGAGGTAGATCAAGTATTCCGGGTCGACCGGACGATTTATCATACCCTCCTGGAGGTGAGGATCACCTCGGGCATCAACGAGAACACCATGAAGATGGCGACCATTTTGCTGCTCAAATGACCGCATTATTCATTCTTGAATTTGGTGTCATATTTCATTCCATTTTTATCGGTCTCACACTTGCCGTCACAGGTGATGATTTTAACGTCCTTTACATTGTCCTTGTTTTCCATCAAACATTTGAAGGACTCGGTCTTGGAGCTCGACTTGCCACGGCTCATTGGCCTAAAAAGAAGGGATGGATGCCATGGGCTTTGGGAGCAGCCTATGGGTTTACAACCCCTATCGCAATTGCTATCGGCTTGGGTGTTCGTACAACATTTGCCCCAGGTAGTCAGAAGACTATGATTATCAATGGTGTATTCGATTCCATCAGCGCTGGAATTCTCATCTATACAGGATTAGTGGAATTGATGGCACATGAATTCATGTTCAATCAAGAGATGCGTAAAAGTTCAATGAAAATGATGCTATTTGCTTTCGGATGCATGGTTGCAGGAGCAGGTTTGATGGCGTTATTAGGAAAGTGGGCTTGAAAGAATATATATCTTTATTATGTTTTAAGACTTCATCATATAGATGGCTATGGGTATGGGTATTTTCGGAGTATGAGCTGATTGGAGCTTAAGTGGGATAAAGGCGAATTGGCGTTGAAAAGAAATGCTTCTTGGAGGATTATTTGTGTATAGGTTACGATGAAATTAGCATGGGTATTGGAATTGGTGGTTATGATATGAGGATAGGACAGCATGGAATGGGATGGTATTTCTTTGACGAATGGATTGGTGGATCTCGAGTCGTCTGTTATTTGATGTTAGAAATTAGATGAAGATGAAGATGAAGATGAAGATGAGAGAGGAGATGAGGAGATGAAAGAAATCAATAAATATCATGAATTTTGAAATATTGAGTCTAATTTTCAATTGTTGCTTTTGTGTGAGGTGATTTGTGGTTGAGTTTGATATCTGGGAATTGTGAGCTCTTGTTATTGAGTTTGGTTAGAGGGGGTGGAGGGGTGGGATTGGGGATTGGGGATTGAAAGGGGAGGAGGAGAAAAGGGGGAGGAGGAGAAAGAGAATTGCTGTGTAGAGAGAGTGTGTTTTTGGTGGTTGGGTGATTGAGTGGTTGATGCTTGATGCTTGATGCTTGATGCTTGATGCTTGATGAAGGGGTTAGGGTTTAAGGGTTAGTGAATGGATAGGTGGATGAATAAGATCGAACCACTAATTGTAGAGTGGATGGATGGATGAATGAATGGATAGATGGGATTTCGAAAGGGGGTCTGGAGAATAATGAGGAGAGGATTTGTTCTGGTGTGTGATGGGATTTGAGGATGGGATTTGAGATTTGGGATTTGAGATTTTGGGGGGGGGTGGTTGGATTTGATAAATGGTTAGTGGTTATGATGGATGGTTGTGATGGATGGTTTTGATGAATGGTTATGGTTGGTATTTGATTGGTATGTGTATTTCTGAGTAGAGGTGGTGAGGGCGATGAAGGAGCTATAGTGTATTGTGATGTAGTATTTTTCTGTTGGGGTATTAGAGGGGAATGATGATTCTGAGATAAGCATAGAATAAACGTGAGATGAGAGATGAGGAGTTGGATATATGAGGAAGTAGACGGATGGATGGTCAGATATGTGAATAGGTATTTTCCTTCTTCTCCTGTTTGGAAATTGATCGGATGAAAGATGTTGTTTTGTTTCTGCGAGTGTTACGGATACTGTGTAGTGATCTCTTTTGATTGTCTTCTGGTTGGGAGCTGGATTTGTATTTAAGGTATGGGGATAGCTGACTACCTCTCTCACTCGATATCAGTATGATACAAAGCATTTACAGAAGAAAGTCTACGAGATGTGCGTTGAGAGTTTCGAGGCCACAATCCTCGGCGAGGGAATGGCATTGCTAGTGATATATGTTGAGACCTGTTTCAACTAATTTCAGAGTTCCATAATATTCCCCCTTCGTCATGTATCCCATTATTCAACATCATTCGATCTCATCTCGGGAAGTAAGTCAGATCTGGCCCGATATTCACAGCTCGAATTAGTTCTACGGAATCTTTCTGCTTGGAACTTTGGAAGAGGAGGTACTTGGATATATTGCACTTTTGTACTGTTATGTTATCTAGTGATTAGATACTCTTTGCTAGGGCGTATCGGGTAATCTTAGAGTGAAGTAATGTAAAATGTCGAAACGAAAGTAATTGAAATAGCTCCAACTAGCTTTCGAGCCGTTCCTGATATCTTCCAGTGAGCATCCAAATCGGAGAATATTTTGACATGTCGCATTTCTTCAATCGGATATCACACGGTCCATGCTGACAAATTCACGATTAGTTCTTGAACCGTGGACGGATGTCTAAGAATGTTTATCTTGTTGAGTAAGGGAACTGAGGTCTTATTTAGATTAGAAGGGCAAAATAAAGTTGTGACTTTGAAAGCACTCGATAATAATTTCGCTCCCTAGTCAGAAGATTCCGTGGGGTTGACCGAGCTATTCAATATATCTACTATTCCTACATTTTATCTTTTTGAGAAGATCACATATATAACATTCGGTTGTTCCGGCAAAATCCACTCGAATAGTCGGAAATGTAAACAAGGTAGCCCGGATACATCGATTACCTGTCCCAAACAGACTAGATTATATTTTTTCGAGCTTCAATCCCACTCTCTAAACATGGGCAATATTTCTTGAGGTTTAACGTCGAGATCATGGGAATGATTCCTATCTTCGAACTCGCACAAGGATGGAAGAGAAATGATAGAATGCAAGTATCCACTATGTTTTCCTCTTTCAAACCGTTTCTCAGTGAACGAAGGAAGCCAATATTAGGCTAGGGTATCATACCTCGAAGCTAAAGATCAGAATTAGGGGATGCGAGCAATGTCAGCGGAGTCGATGAAAATGAGGCGAGGATTCGCTTGTGGATATAATCGGTAACAACGACATCGAATGTGATAAACTAGATACGACTTTCGTATTAATTGTGAAGCGCGGAGTTGAAAGTTTATCTGTGTGGACTTTCTACTTTTTCATGATGATGTTGATATTAGTCGAGACTCATATCTATAATATCATCCGTAGATGCCAGCTATCTTTATCTCCATTTTCTTGGTCTTGTAGCAAGCCGCAGAATTGTAGTATATGCACTAACTTTGGCTCATTACCTTTTCTTTTCCTTTACACATTAAACCTATCTAATACTGTACGTTGTAAGCACTCTCTATCTGTGCTTGAAGCGTAGTATGCTTAACACAGCGAATCTACTAAATGATAGACTGATTACATATACCAACGTTAGAAAATAGTCTTAAAGTTGATCATTAGAACTTTTCTAACTTTTATACTTCTCGGGATCTGCATTTGAGGTTCACGAGTGGCCCGGATTAATTTATTGTTTAGCACCAGGGTGTAATCTCAAACTTGGTCGAATATGGTATTTGATCTCGCATGTATCTCCTCTAATAAAGATAGTCCGAATCAAACTTACAGTCACGGACTGGATATGAGCTCTCGTGATCTGGATTCCGGAAGCAATACAATACAGCAGTCGAGCTTATTATAGAGAATCTTTGATACGATTCAACTTCTGCGATGCTCAGAAGCTTTGGACTGTAGTGACAACTCTGAAGTATCGAAATCCTTGGCCTTAGACTCATATTCAAACAGACTCCTAAGATTCAATCTCTTAGTAGATTAGTCTACAAGAAGGCCCCCAAGATTCATATTCCTCGTGCATAATCTTCTTCCGAACAATAACTCTAGTTTCATCCAAGAAGTGCCATGTAAACATCTCAAACAGCGATACGGTATCTTTCACAGCACCAGCAAGACTCAAGAAATGGTCACCAACAAATCAGTGTGAAGAAAAGAAGGACTTCCGAAGAATATCCATCCATTCTGAAGACAACTCTTATCTTCATTACCTTAAAGAAATAGTTTCGATCAAATACTTATCCACACATCTCCACCCATACCCCATACCTTACTACCCAGCCCTTCAAAATATCATAAAATCCTCCAAAGTTAAACCAAGTTCCACCCATCTCGTATCTTCGCAATCTAAAATGCATCTCCTAATCTAGTTACCTGGATACACAGTAAACTTTTCGACGCTCGATCGATCAATATAGTACCGCTTTTCTCCACACAAGCACATGTATATACTCCCTAAACATCAAATTTCAAATTTCAAACAATAAACTAAGCCAACCCAAACACACAACGGACGAGTCATAAAAACGTGACATAAATCCCGCCTCTCAATCCTTAGAAATCTGGACCCCAAATAAATCTCAAAATTAGGGTTTGCGGATCTAACTTCCAGGTAGGCAGGTAGGTAGATAGTGAGTAAGTGTGATGTTAGAGAAATGGTGATGATGATTGTCCTATCTTTCAGTCAAGCTAGGCATGTATTTCCACACCAACTTGTATTACCCTCCAGCTCATCACTATTAATACCCACTCACCTATTCCCTTTCATCTACCATCCATAATCCTTACACCCCAAGCACCTCCCCCCTCTCAAAGCCACCTAATATTCCATGAGTTTCTTTTCTCGCTCTCCTTTTTACTCCTCGCTAAGGCTTTTTCCTTTTCTTCTGCCCGTTTTCATAGACATACCAATCCTAATTCCAATTCCAATCAATCTCAGTCGCTCTATCGCATTTCAAGCATATCTCTTTACTCACATCATATATCTCGATTTCCTTCTCATTCCTCTTCCCCTTCCCCTCTTGAACACACTCAATTCCCAGTTCTCAACTCTCCCAATTCCAAGCTCTCAAGTCCCCATTAATCTCCTTCCAACAACCCCCTTCCCCCTATGACCAACTCAATCGAATCCAATTGAATCTATTTCAACTCAACTCAACCCAAGCCAACTCAACCACAAAGAGAACGAAACCATAAAAAAAAACAAGAGCTCACCTCAACATCCAACCTAATCCAACCCAATCCAAATCCTCGTGCACCCCATCACTATTTCCGTTTCCATTTCCATTCCTCTAATAATCGTAATTACAATTAACTAAATCTACTTATCTACTCCCCTCTCCTCACTCTCCTCACTCTCCTCACTCTCCTCACTCTCCTCACTCTCCTCACTCTCCTCACTCTCTTCCCCCCTTTCCCCCTTCCCTTTCCCTTCCCTCTTTCCCCCCAGAAATCTCCAAATCCTCAGTTTCCCAGAGAACCATAACAACACTCACCCTCACCCTCACATTTTCAACAAATACCATAAATACCACAAATACCATTCAGCAACTACACCCTGCCCTTCCCTCTCCTCTCCCTTTCCCCCTCCCTCCCCCTCTCCCTCCCACCACCTCCTCACCCCCAAGTCAAACCCCTACCTACACTTCCAACACTTCCAACACTACCTCCCTAGATTCCAATTGCCCAAGATCCATATACACATATTTTCTTAACAATCATTATTCAATTTCCATAAACAATATAACAAATTCTCACATTATTCCAATTCATCCCTATTATCCTCCCTCATTATCCTTCCCCGTCCTAAAAAAAAACAAAATCCAAGAATCTCACATCTCACATATTACATCTTACAAATCACCCACCTACCCAAAATACACAACCCTTCCCAAACAATTACACACCACACAAACAAAAATCAGACCAGGAATCATTTTTGTATTTCTCATCATCAATAATGAACAGTTTAAAAAAAAGATAATATGCAACATCACATCCTTTACAATCCCATTTCTTTCCCATTCCAATTCCCCATCCCATCCATCCCTCCAGCCATCCATCAGTCGATTCCCCATATCATCACTCTTCATCCATTTCCGTTTCCATCCCCAAAATAGGGTTCTCTAGAAACCCTATCCCTTCCCTTCCCTTCCCTTCCAATATCGTTCATGCCATGACATGATTTCCTCTATACATCCTATCCTATTGTTCACCCCTCGATTAATCTTCTCAAGGACTAGCCCAACCTCCTGCAACATCTACCCATTCTGCCAAACAACTTCCTTGTTTGCCTTCTACATCCACAATATCCGTGTCGCATCTACATCTACACCCAACACCATTTTCCTTGACTGGATCCCAATTGTCCCAGTATTCATCTTCTTCCTTTCGTTTCTTCTCGTCTAACGTTGTCTTTTCAAGATAAGGTTCGCGCGCTCTTTGACGAGCGGGTGCGTTGGCTGGGCAATGTTGAATAGTTGTATGTCTATAGCCAAAATCACGGAAGTAATGAATATCGCTAGGGCCGAGGAGAGCGCCAGCGGCTAAAGAATGGATGGGAGCGTCACCCCACTGATGTATTGTTAGTCTAATACTGGAAACCTTAAAGATATTCACTTACTCTCTCCATCCAAAATCCTCCACTGCGATCCATCATTTGGAAGAAGTCTTCATATTCCTTACTTCTGAACCAACTAAGTCTGGCAATTTCGAAATTCGACCAGAAATGACACATGTTGTACTTTTCTCCTTCCATAGCTTCTGGATCAATTTCTGGCAAAGATGCGCGAGATGGATCGCCTCGAAGAATTTCCTCAGGTAACGGTCTTTTATAAGCTGGATCATCTTCAGGAACCTCTTTTGGCTCCTCAGGAGGAGGCTCGACGAACATTTCCCATAAACCTTGAGATGTAATGTTATTGACTCGTTTATATGCAGATGCGTAACGGAAGATATTTGGAACGGTTTCCTTCAATTCCTTGACGGCAATAGTGAAACCATAAGTCTTATTCGAGTCGATCATCTTAAGGAAAGGATCACTATAAATTTGTTAGCTTGATCTATAGTTGCTCCACGACAGTCAGACATACTATGTAATATCACAGAAATACTTAATTTCTGGTTCAAGTCGCCAGTACCACTCATATTTAGCCAGAAGCTCATGTTTGTAAAAGAATCTGGTCTCTCGTCAGTATTTCCTTATTTCCCTCAAGCTCATAATTATGGTTTGTGGACATACCCTGAATAAAATCTGCACATAGAATGGTAACTTTCCATGCCACCATACATAATTGCAGCATCACCTTGTTTTGCGATACCCTCTTTGGCAACCTTGGGATCAATCCATTCTGGGAATCCCCAGTGTTTAGGGTCGATGGTTCCAAATTCACATGGCCCACTGGTATAGTTTTGAATGACTTCCTTGAATGTCGAGTTGAATTCTTGATCGTTGAGGAAAACGTAAGGGTAATGATACCATCGATTGAAATGCCTTTCGATAGATTTCACTGATTGAATGACTCCCTCCAATTCCTTGTTTCTTGCTAGCACAACGAATGCTGCATTGGCTCTTGGTTGACTTGTATCAGGCTCCGCGCATCCTGTCACGAAGACCTTATCGTGTTGTTCACTGATCCTCCTACAATCACACACAAATGTCAGTCAGTGGCCATTGCATTTGAACCAAGAGAGATTGATAGATCCCAAAACATACCTGATAGCTGGTGGTGCTCCAGCTGGCATTAGCATTCCCACACCCGATTTAGGATGGCGAACAAAAAGCACCAAAATCAATACAACGACAATACATGGAAACAATAGAACTACGCCGAGTGGTATCGAAATGCTGGAATTGCCCTTTAATCGAAGCGGCCGCCTGAAAAACGCCAATCTAGATGTGGTTTTTGGCTTCTCCTTCACATCATCCAACGGTAATTGTGCTGATGAAGGCATGCGCTTCATCACCCTCTGAACGAAACTCATGGTGGTTGTGGTTGAGATAGTTGAGGATCCGTTCGTAGACAAAATTTCGAGATAGGGGGAATTTATGTCGACCCCAGGCCGTTAAAAGAAGAGGACACTACCCAGTGTGTGCCGTATCTGGATTATTTGATATTGTTACAAAAAGTAATTGGAATAGAGTGTATAATTGAATAGGTATCGAATGGAAATGATTCTAAGTGGGAACTCCTTTGGCAGAGTCGCTATTCCTTTCTCATAAAAAGCGATGATACTTTTTCTAATAACGAGCGACTTGGACCTTGGGTGTCCTCGAAGATAGAAACACTTTTGCGATAACCTCAACGTGTCTATGATTGTTTCGAGGAGTTTCTGCCGTCAACATAAAAGAAATAAATCTGTTATGTTGATGGCGAGAAGAAACTTGAAAATATTATGACATGCAAATTTCCAGAGAAATTCGTTATTGTGAATTGTCGTGTGTTGCAATGCAATCAATGGATGGGCTAGAACGACTTGGGGATTTTAGAGAAAAGGGAACTGAGATGAGGTGGACTGTGGTTATTTGCGGGTGTGGAGTATTTCTGGAAGGGTTTGTCAGGCCAGAGAAGTGTTCAGATTTTGGCGTGTGGTGTGTGGTGTGTGGTGTGTGGGTGTGGGTGTGGGTGTAGGTGTGGGATTATTTTTTTAGGTTAAGGTTGGGGGAATTGTAGGTAAAAAGTGGAGAGGAAAGTCCTGGGATGGATGAGTGAGTGAGGGAGGGAGAGAAAAAGATGTTTGGTGTTTGATATTTGATATTCAGATGTTCTATACGAAACGAGACAAGACTGACAAGATTGACAAGATTGACAAGATTGACAAGACAAACCTACCCAACTAGACTAACATAACGGATTGAATCGAATGAAGAAGGCTGGACGATAGGATAGGTAGGTAGTCAATGATACTTCGTACATTCATCCCCCAATGGCAACTCACAAGCAATTACAGAACCAGACGAGTGACGGCTAGAAAAGTAATCCAAAGTATCCCCTCTTATCCAACCCTCATTTCGATACCTGCACGTATGTTATATGGAAGTTTTGACATAACAAGTAAAGGTAGGATGCAGTATATCCGAATTACCCCTGAATGAACTGAGTCTAGAGAATTTATTGCATCGATGCGTATGGGCAAAGGATGGATAGGTAAACGGCCTCGTATTTTACGAGGAAAGAATCCTCCAACAATAGAAGAATATAATCCATTCATCAGCCTCAACGTTGGGGATACGTGCATAGATATTTTGGTGGGAAGATTCACGATAACCTTATCATTGATATTGTATGTTTGACTCAGTTGTGAGTTTCATAGGAGATTTTCAATCCCAATCCGATCCCATTTCAGTCATCCTGAAAACCAAAAAACAAAGCCAGTTCTCCTATTCCATCCCAACTACGGAACAATATTCACCTGTCCTCATTGGCCAATCGTTGTACTTTCTTACTAATACAATCATACAATCAGACAATCATCCAACTCCAACTTCAATCTCGAGTCATCTCGACATCCGTATAAAAACAGCATCAAAGCTATCTCTACCCCGCCGTATAATTTTCAAAGCTTCCGATCTGGGTCTCTCGTCGCATGTCAATACCACCACCAATATCCAATATCCAACATCCAAAATCCAACACCCAACATCAAACCCCACAACACTACCCCCCACCATGTCCAAAATAACCTCCAAAAACCTCTCCTACGACAGCACCCTCCCCCCCTTCCTCCAACGTCTCCAATCCAACCACGCCTCCTCCTCCGACGGGCGCCACGAGTTCACCATTTCGCGGCCGCGCAAACCCATTGACGAAGATGCTGAGCGGGAAAGCGAGCCCGTGGTTTTTGACGAGGTGAGCGGCGAGACGTTGAGTAAAGAGGAGTGGGAGAGACGGGAACAGGAACGGGAAGAAGGGGTGAAAGAAAATGAGGGGGAAGGAGGAGAGGGAGAGGCGATGGAAAAGAAAGAGATTGCGAAAATGGCGGTAGGGATAGGAGGAAGTAAGAAGAGGAAGGTAGGGAAGGTTATTGGGGTTTGGAGGATGAGGAGGATGAGAATGAGAAGGGAGAGGGAGAGGAGAAAAGTGATGATAAGTCCTTGAATAAAAAGGATACGGGAAATCAGAAGAAGAGTGACAGTGGTAAAATTGGAGCTACAGCTACATCAAAAACGAAACCTAAAGCTGCGGCGAAGAAGGGTAAAAAGATAAAGTTGAGTTTCGGGGATGACGAGTAAGAAGATATAGACTCGGATATCCTGAAGGAATATTTTGGGAGTCATTTGATAAAGCATCTTAGAGGAGCATGTGGGAAAATGGCGTTTGGAAATGGAATGATACCCGGCTACTGCCAGTTAGCCAACCTACCTAGTCCTGGTGGTCTACAGGATTGATAAAAGATGTATGAACAGAATCATATATGAAAATCATAGAATCACAATGAAATATACCAGTGCTTTGTGAAATTCCATTTCATTCCTATTCAATTTCTTCCTGCCATCCATCCATTCGTTCATCCATTCATTCAATTTTACCAGTTATGTATCCCGTGAACCACCATGATCTGATCCGATCCACCGTCCCAATCACAATGCTTCCTAGACAAATATTGACCGAAAACAAGTCATGTAACGCAACCTTCTGCAAGATGGGTTCGAAGAAGTACGCCCACCCGCTCACGCCCTACCGCCTCTCTTCAATGAAGACGAGAAAACGTAACTAAAAAAAATATAGCAATTGAAATGCCATCCTATGCCCGATGATGAAAATTGGAACGCCGTGGAAGTTGGACTTGTGAATGATGAGTCCTCTTTGCTTGCGTAAAAGTTCTGTGAAAAACGCTTTTCGAAGTAGCTGCCATAAATGAAAGCATCCATCAACCATCCGTGATCCAATTTCAATACCTATATTGCTTTCCCCCAAATGTGTGTATTATCGCTGGCTTTCTCCATAATCGTTGAAATATCATCTCCTATCTAGTAACCTTTTCCTTGCGTGTTCTGGACGAAATCCCAAAGCATCTTGACTAACGAGTCTGGTAATGTATACAAATCGACATGGAACTCTCCCACTGCATTCTTTGCGTTAGCATTTCCCCCTCAGATTTCATTAATAGCGCCCGGAGTCGAACTTACAGTCAACATCATTCTTCGTATATGTTTCCTCGCTCTTATTATCATGAATCATTTGCACCACATGCAAGAGGTCATCCTCCTGCAATTTGACTAATCCTTCTGCCAACTTCTCCATATCTACCTGGCCAGTCCTCTTCCTCTTCTTTCCATCGGCATCCTTCTTTCTAATGGCTCCATTTTCATCTCCTGGGACTGGTCCGGTCTCTCTCAATGAATTAATCAACTCTCGACTTGGGTTCTTGAATGTAATCGGATGTTTAGCTTCATAGCGGCTCTTGGCAAAGTTGAGATCGTGTGCAATGCTATGCTTGCCTCCCGTTGGAGTAGTGAATAAATCGATCGTCATATCAAATTCTCCCCATCCCTCATTCTCACAGCGGAAGGGAGCCTCAGTAAAAGCTGTGTGGTGGCAAATGTTAAATCGAGAACTTGACAAGCTTCGCGTGCAAGAAAAATTTATAGCTCGTAAACTTACTTTGGGTTGGATTTGGAAAAGTAGGATGCAGATTGTAAACTGCCTTTGTGAAGCAGGTCGCAGGCTTCTCGTTTCCATTTTCATCTAACATAAAGATTTCGATGTTCCATGATTTCATTGGGAACCCTTCTTGAAGCGCTGGTTTGTCTCTGTAGAGTGAGTTTCAGCATGTATTCTCAAGGTCCAGTATAATATTGGTAAATTGAAAGCTAGATCGCGACCTACATGTTGCGCTGCTCTGTGACGAGCTTGATCATTCTTTTAATCTGCGCTGCAGTCAGTAATTGTATTCAAAGTGCTATTGGAGAACGGAAAGCTGAGCATTTTCAAATTACTCACTTCTGCCACCATCTTGACGGTATTTTGACGGTATAAGCTTTGTCGGATTTTCGAATTCTTGATGATGTCGTTCTCAATTGCGACGCGCCTGCAGTTGGCTGATCGTAATTTGAGTGGGGTACTGATACCCTTGCTAGTTCAAGCTCAAGATTATTGAGAATAAAGAATCACGTGTACTTGGAGAAGGAATTTATCAATTCTAGGGATTTGGAAAAGAATCAATGTCCAGATCGTTGAGGAATTGGAGCGAGTTTCAAGACTTTGAGTACCAGTAGACTTCAGCTTTGTTTGTTCTTTTGATAGAATAAACTTCGAAGCTTGCCTTAAACTTGTATAGTACTCACTCAAAATAAGACATTCTCTGAAAGAGTCGAAGGAACGAATATAGTACCTACCTAGGCAACTGGGTATACATTTGTCTATTCTACATATGCTTTGAACAGGTACATTCAAAAAAGGTCCATAATACATACAAGTCTTAATGTTCACATCTCAAAATATAGACAAATCAGTAGGTACTTTGGGGATGAATGAAGGACTGGTATTTTTAGTCTAACTACATGCCATAGTCTCAAAATTGAGTACTAATCAAGCCTTCCTATCCTCCACCATCGTCATCATCATCATGATACAATCTTTGGGAAAACCTGGACCACCAGAATGTCTAGGTATCGATTTGCCGATGTTTACAAAAGAGGTTTTCGACAACGTGCGCGTAAATGGTTAACGGGGTATGGAAGAAATGCGTTTTAATGCAAATATGATCATAAATTCATTCCTTCAGGAAACGTGCTGTGCTGGATTATGCTGTGTCGATTGAGGAGTCGTTTTGGAAAGTTGAAGTAAATACGAGGACGAATCTATCGTTTAGGCCTTGAAGAAAACTTCGTTCTCTTGTTGAGCCTTGATGAAAGCCTCCTTGAAAAGGTTCGCGTCTAGGTAAATGTCAGCTTCCATATAATATTTGTATTTGCGGCATAGATGCTTACTCTCGGAGTTGGCAAAACGGATAGCCAAAGTTTGTGCTTCTGGCTCGCCCTCACTAACATCTGCGGCGGCATTCCAGACCCAACTTCTATCACTGCCAACGTTTGGAGACAACTTCATGTCAGGAACGACTTTTAACCATTAGCCCAAGTTCTATATAATACTGTTCAATGCCGCAAACATACCATAGTGGTTGGCGCAGACCTTCAAAGTCTTGTCTCGTCTCATGACCAATCTGGTCTTTCCGTTCTCCTTGTGCTTCAAGAATCGAACATCACCAGTACCACGCTCCTTCCACTCTTGAGTATCCTTGACGAACTTGAAGAGCTTAGCGCGCATCTTGAAGGTTTGCTCCTCGAGTTCCTCGTTGGTCTTAACATCGACTTTCTCGGTCAAACGAATAACCGGCTCGAAGTGAACATCCTCGGATTCTGGGGCCTCATCCTACGATATGATCAGTTCTGTTCTTGTGTGTGTGTGTGTGTGCACATTGTCCAACAATACCTCTGGGTTCTCTTCAGCAGCAGCGGCTTTTTGTGCCTTGGCAGATCCTGAGTTATCTCCTCGGTCCTCATCCTCTTTCTTCTCCTTCTTGGCTCCACCACCGAACATCGAGAAAACATTATCAGTGATACCAGTAGCGGCAGAAGTGACAGTCGCGGCGGCAGTGGATGCGGCAGCAGTAGCTTGCTCGGTCAAGGTCTTGACATGATTATGATTAGCAAAGTGTAATAACATCGACAAGATTGCCAGAAAACAATATAAAAAAGGGAATTATCAACATACAGAACCCTCAGCTGGAGTTTCCTTGGCTGACTCTTCCTTTAAAGCTGCTGGCTCGGTGGCGAGCTTAGTCTCAGACTCAACGAGTTTGGGCTCATTGCTGGTGTTGATCTCTTGGTGTGCTGGTTCAGCCATGATGAATAGACTTATTTGGATATCTTGAAGAGTACGTAGAATAAAATCTGCAGGTAATTTTTTTAATGCAGCTTTACTTGAGAAGCGTTATGGTTGGAAGGTACTTTTGGGGTGGGTAGTAGAAGTGGGAGAATGGAGGGGTCAAAAATCTGAGTTGTCAGGCAAAAATCCTAAATAGAGGTGGGCGAGCCCGAAATCAAAACAAACCAGTGTGGCTAAGCGATTTAGTGGGTTAGTGTCATTTTACTATGGTTCAAATCTTAAATCTCTCATGGGTAAAAGCAACAAGATGATTGATTTTGATTGAATATGCCATTGTGTGAGTGAATGTGAAAATTTTACATTCTTCCCACACACAGTACAGTATTGTTCAACCGATATCTAAAAGGTAAACAAATAGACATGGAAACAATACACGACCAATAGGTAAATACATAGTACTGTATAAATTATTAGTCATTTAGATGGACATTGTACTGACTTGACTATGATGCACGGGATCTAGACTTAACATCACTTAGCCTCATGGATTAACTGTCGGCCCGAACATCACTCGACCTTTCTTCGACTTTCTCTAATCTTTCAATCCTTGACCTCCACCAGATTTATGCTGTGTGAAGTTCTCTACATCGTAATACCTGGCAACAAGATTGTCTCAAAGCTGCGGACCTTGTGCAAAATGAACTATATGAACATATATATGTTTGCTGACTAGATTTGTCTGTTCCCAATTGTAATTTTGGAATTCTGGGCATACAGTCTATGTATCCAGGCTTGTTGGCACTCACCAATGTTAGTTGGGTAAAAGCTTAGAACACATTCATACATACAATGCTATTATGTTACTGATATAAAGCCCCTGTGGATTACTTCCATGTCAGCAGAGACCCGTTTACCTGATACAAATTGCGGCCTAGATAGAAGTGCATGAGTAAATACTTGGTAATCTTGAGCCAGCACAATATAGTTATCACTTGAGGTCATGAATCACAGGAAGTTTTTGAAATCATTTTCTAGTGGCTGTATTATTCCTACGTTCAACTGCTATTAAGAGCTTTCTTGCCTACATGTCCCCGTCACTCATATCCTGTATCCCATGCATAAAACGAACCTAGCTATCAATCAGAGTGGAGATTTTCTCGCCCGAGAAACCACACAAGCTATCAAAGGATTTCATCTTCGCTATCATTCCTCAATCTTCTTCTCTTCTTGAGGTTTTTTCCGCTGCTGGCCGAATTCATCTCAGCCATGGAGGCAAATGGATCTGAGGATAAGGAAAATGGAGTTGATACAGTTGGTGGAGAAGATGCTGCGGGAGTATGATTCTGGCCAGCTATAGCAATGTCCAGTGCCATCAATGCTGATTTCATATATTAGTACCTACTATAACCTCGTACCACAGAACTATTTGCTTACCTTTTGTCAACCTCATCACATCCTCGTTAGGCTCCAAATAGCTATCCATTGTGTCAAGATAGCTACTGAGCAAACTCGTAATACCAATTGTATCTTGTTGTAGGCAACGCATAACTCCGTAAAGAATCTTCACTTGATTTACAGTAAAGGTTGTATCCCCAAGTCCAAAAAAAACATCCTCTACTTCTCTGCCGGGATCCTTCTGTACCATACGAGCAAGCCTCTGATAATCGATATCGCCCGTAAAATCATCATCTGAAGCACTGTCGTCATCATCTGTGGCATTGCCTCCATGATTCTCGGTTTCAGTATCGCTACCAGAGTCATCAGAACCTCTATATCGTGTCTTGTTTGGGAAACCATCATCAACTATATCGTCATCGAACCCCTGGAATTCTTCCTCATCAACTTCTTCGTATTCATCAGAGTCAATACCACCACGGCCCTCATCATCCGTAAATTCAGCACAAGATCCTTGCGTATAGTCGGATATATCTTCTGGATCCTTGATTTCGTACCGTCCGAGACGTCGAGTGCCGGCCTTCTTGAGGCTTCCTAATTGTGGTCCTGCAATTGCACCAGTTGTCAAGAAAATTCGGCGGTTGACGAGCCACTTCTGTATAACTTCGCTGGCATGGATGATGTCGTGATATGGAATTGCTGCCTCTGTATTGTGCTTGATGTTCTCCTTCGTCATGATCTTCTCTGAGAGTCGGATAGCCTCATTTAGATGTTTTTTTCCCATCTTCTGTTCCATTGTCCAAATTCCCCAGCCTGGTACCTTAGCATCGATGATATCACCCAGTTGTCCCTGTAATTCACGCGCAGAACTCAGTTGAAACTATGCTCGGTGGTAGTTGCTGAGACCTGTATAGCTTCGATGTTTGACGACTCCACGATGGATATCGTACATGTTCTTTGTAATGGGGTTGTAGTCGCTAGGAATGGTGTTCTTGAATTCGGTCTCCGCAACTAAAATGGATTTGTGTTTTGTTGAAAGCTATCCACAAAATCAGCTACCATTATGAACACGGTGGAAAATAGATGGGGAACTTACGGCATCGATAACCCTGAAATGGTGATTTCTTTGCGAATCTCCATACTTATACTTCCTCTTTACTTCCTCACTCAAAAGTGCTGATAGTCCCGGCATCTTGAATAGTATCGGACTGAAGAAAAGCGATAGCGTGGGGTCCTTTGAGAGCTCCGAAAACCAAAATACAAAAGTAACTTGATGGTTGGTAACTGTAAGATAGGAAACCTGAGGGCAACGCTATCAAGTGTGTAGAAAGAAGTAAGCAATTAAAGTAATGCCAGTATGCTGTTTTAAAAACAAAGTAGTGTTATGGTACAAGCACCCCATCGGTTGATGGGTGCAAATGGGACGTTGTGGGAAGGAAGTTCTTAGAAACAAGATCGTGGGCGCAGAACTTATATATCGATCAACGCGAGGCAAAACACAGCATCACATGATGAGGCTAGATTCGCTACCTCCTCCATTCAGTTACCTCCACCGTCCTTGTGAACTCCAGCGATGCAACGGAGGAAGGCCGGAAGTAGACCCGATGAGGGTCTGTAGAGAGGTGTGGATAGATAGAGCTCAAATGAGTACAATATTGGAGGTTTACAGATCATTTTGAGGTTGACTAATGTGTGTTTGATGCGTGTATAGATGTAGTTATAATAGAGTTGTATCACTTTTGCTTATCAATAACCCACCGCCCTCTCTTCAGGCTTCTTGAAATCCCTTCCTATCGTAGATTCTTCCTCTGCTTCTATATGCTATCTGCTAGAAATCTATCAATTGTGATTGCATCTGCTGCGCTGCTCAAGAGATCCTTGCTAGGATTTTTGCATATCTTGTCTGTATTGCCGTAGGGCTGTCCACCTATTCTCGATCACAGCCCAACGTCTCCTTCAAACCCACTTGTATCGTGCCAAACAAAGGATTGATTATCCACCTCTCTCTATCGGCGAGCCTTCCTTGTCTCCTCTCTGCAGCAGCTCTACTTCTCTGCTTTGTTCTCAACTGCCTCGCGCATTGAGAACGCTCCATTTGCTTTCGCAGCATCGTTGTCGCAAAGGCGTATCCCTTCCCATCGACTCCAACCCATCCTCTCGGCTCTATCCTTCTGCTCCTACTGCAACCTAGCCTCTGGGCCTCTTCGGTCCCGCCTATTGTCACAAAGGGCCTCGAATTTCCTCCTCTGCCAATATACTCGATAGCCTTGTGCCCCTCCATTGTTGTCGTAGGGTTGTCTTTGTCTTTTGTTTATTTCAGTGCAATATGTGGCCATCGCGATTCTACCTCCAGCAACAGCGATATTAGCAGATCTCCTAAGACAAAGCATCATAGAGTGCTAAACCACTGTGGATTGTTTATCCACATCGGAAAGTTAAGCCGTCATGCCTCTGTCCTTCAATGCTAAAGACCACAAGAAATTCTATCGGCAGACAGTACATAGCGCACGGCAAAGACACCTCTATATTTTTTATTTGGCTAATATGTTGTCGCCAGTTATCGATTAGCAGGAAACTTGGTAGAACAGGATGAAAGACCGACCGAAGGTCTCCATTTCCTTCTCCTGATATCTCCTTGGGTATTCTCTATGCTTTGCTTGATCTTATGCCCCAATTCTTCAGAGAATGCTACGTTCCCTTCTATGATCTACGTTCTGCTACTAGAGCTAATATTATCCCCAGTCTTCTTTGTATAGGCACAACGCGATTAATCTTTATGATTCGAGGTTCATACCCCTACGACGACCACCATAATTCGCGGCATTATATAAATACTACGAATTGAACCTTCTGAGCCTCGAAATAAATGCGCTCTAATTACTATCTTCTGCAATTGCAAATTTTACAAGTGCTCCGAAATGGACCCTCTATGCTTCAAGGTCTAAGCTGTTGCGAATGCTCTCCTAGATGATCATTACAAACACTCCAAATCAAACCTTCGAAGCATAGCTTTTCAGGTGTCTGTGACTGATGCCCTCAACGATTTCATACAAGCGCGTTTACATACTGAGGTCTTACCTTCGTGTCTCTAGATTTTGAATCCTTAGGTTCTGCCCCCTCTAATTTCGGCATCCTCTATTCGCATCATCGGTTACACCTGCTGGCACTCGAAGAGCATGCCCTCGAAGGGTATCTGCATGGGATTTTACCCGCAATGATCTTCATAGACACAAGTACTTCGAGCTTCATTGAGGGGAAATGGAATATACACCGCTCTGCGGGATATAGAACACGGTAGATCTGTCAAATGGCAGGTGCTGTCACGGCGCCAACTACATGCTCTGTAGTTGCCTTCATGCCTCAGGCATTGATCACTAGCGTGCCCTACTTCTTATAAGTAGGGCCTCTCTCTTCCATAGCTCTTCTACCCTTATGGTGCAATATAAGTCTTTACCCTTACCATGGCAGGTGTAGGCTAGGATTCAAGTAGGCGCTCAGGCGGGAGGTAGGGCTGACGGCACTGGAGCAAGACACATTGATAGATGAGCTCGGTGCTTAAATTAGTAAAGGAAACTTCAACCATAACGAAGGACTCTATGGTTTCACTGTAGGCTACAAGGTCGAGATTGGACTAGACTGTTATCTCATAGCTTTAGGTGGTATTTTAGCAATAAAACATGATTACAATGGAATTCTGACTTATATTTTTCATCTAGATGCTACATAGGTGATGTTTGCCATTCAGTGGCACATAAATATAGCCATTTTTAGATAGTTCACATGCACCTCAAAAAGTTCAAAGTGATAAGAAATAGATATTAGAACATAATGTTGATAAGATACGGCATTCACGAACTTTCCGAAAACATCAATAAAGTTGCTTTAAAACACTCATACACACTCCTGAACATCAATAAACACCTATAGAAATGTCAAACTCATGTAAAAATAACTCAAAGTCTTCCAAATCAACTTTTTCAACTTTCTCATTCATGAAATTCATAGCATTTGGTGTTGTATATCATCAATGTCTAGCCAAAGTACCTTCATTCCATCATCATCGAGTATGGGAAACATCCAGTAAATCTACAAAAACATTAAATAACAACAAACATACATATCTCATCATTTAGAACACCTTTTTATCTCTTTAGTTCATTCTAATGTATCTAACATCTACCTTAGTCTGTCGGTTAGCCACCTCCGAAGTTCTGCCGCCCCTGATGTGTTAAAAGTTCCTCAAAAGTTCATCAATGACACGTCACACGTTCAAATTGAGTATTTTGGGGCCTTCATTTTGAGGACTAGAGATGATAACTAGGGAACTTTGCAATTATTTGGGTCTAAATGAAGGTTTGAGTGTTATTATCCCTAAAGTATAGAGACTAGTCTCGATAAAATGGATTTGAGGGCTAAGGAGCATCCTGCCGTTAATCAGGAATAGAGAAGAATAGCAATTGTCTAAATTTGATATATGAATTAGAAGTGGTTTTTAGAGATAAGAGAAACTCTGAATCATTTTCTGTCTCTCAAGTCTTATTTAGAGACTTATAGTTCATTAAGTAAAGAGGGGAGCTGTGTTTGTGTAAGTTTGAGAGAAGGTTGGGAAATTATAGCTCATGAAATACAAATATGAAGACTTTAATTATTCGAATTTGAAATTAGAATTAAGAACGATATGTTCAAACAAGATAAGACGAGAGTAGATAAATCTTATGAGGATTGAATATTTCATCATTGTATATGGCTAGAATACAATGAATAATTGTCAGTTTTGAGGGAGTATGAAGGAGATCACTAGAGTAGATGATGAAAGAAGTAAAAAGTCAGAAAGTGGAAATCCAACATTATTTGAATAGAAGTCGGAGATTTAAGTTCTCCAATATGAATATGTTTTGGTGAAATATTGTGAAAGTTTGGATAAAAGGTAGAGATTAGAGTGGTATAACGAAAAGGGTGTAACTAAATATAACCAGATGATAGTAGAAAGTGTTCTAATAAGAGACGAACATAGATGAACATTAACGAACCCTAAGAGGAGCTAAGGATACGAATGTATAAAGCTAATGAAATGGGAAGGGGAAAAGCAATCCAAGTAGTTCAAAGGATAAATTCTTTTAGTGCCTTGATTTCGTAGCTAGCTCTTACTACATGCAAACTTACATTCGCTCTTGTCGTGACAGGCTTCTCATCTCTGATTCCAAACGCAAACTCGAACACGTGATACATTTATTCCGCACCATCACGAATCCTGGGATTACAAAGTCAACCTAACTCATCTCGAAATAGATCAAGTTGCGCAATAAGCTATATGGTATCGAAATTAGCAAAAAATAGTGCACTTTGGACATAAATTTGATGAATGAGACTGCCCAGTTTGCTTTGAATCTTTCATTCACTATCTTTACTCATATCCTACCTCGTTTTGTCACTTCACATTTCTCCGACCAAATTGACGCAGAAGTGAAAATCAACTCAGCTCCGAAGAATAATAGCATAGAGAATGACAACCAAAAGTCATTCCCAGAACTATACTCACACCCACATGTCACACCAGCTTTGCCTCTGCCGCGCTCCTGCAAAAATTTTCTTCAACCCCAAACAATCTTGGGCTTCCGGTCCAATATTCACTCAAACGCATATGCATGTATGCTGAACTCTTGAAAGCTCGATTTTAATGCTCTGATGTGATTATTACACAAGATAGGTGATTGTGTGGAATATTCTGAGTTTTCAAACTGATAATTGAGCAACGATAATTGAGGTTCATAATTTCGTACAGTGAATAAATCTCGAGAGCTAACATTAGAAGTGAATTATTCGGAATTCTTTCAATACAATTTAAGAGATTCTAATAATGGCGCTTTCACTCAGCAAGTTGCCGCGGCCAAAACGCTGGTGGAACTCGCCATCGCACTGCCAGAACAATCAAGCGTAGCAGGATGGTCAACTACCGACATCTTTCAACGTTGTGATTCATTTTCGACGATTGTCTTGAGTATACAGGGTCGATACTAATATCAAGCCAGGAATCGTTTTTCTATCGATAAAAAAGGAGATATCGAACTTTTGGTTCCACAGAGATTGCACAACATTCTGCAAAGATGTCGAGAAATGGGAATTCTAATCAATGATTAGATTTGATACTGAGAGAGATGTTTGTCATACTATAGATGAGATGAAGCAATGCCACTTCTAAAACTCACGGAGCATGCAGCCTATTGTTGTCCTTCGAAACTCATTTCTATAGCCGGAGAGGGTAGCAGCACGTCTAATTTTGCCTCTTGTAGATCGCTTACCCTCCAGTAACTGAGCGAAATATCCATGACGTTATTTGAGACGACTGTCAACATATCTGACGATGTTCTGATCTTAGATGGCAATTTTTGACTTTCTACCGGGACTGTGACATCGTATTATCGTTCTAGATTGTGGTGAATTATAGGTCGCAGATGGTTTTCCCGAGGTGCTGGTTTATGGTCATAGATTTGGGGCAAAACGCCCTCGTGTCGAAACACTTCTTCTTTCCAGGGTGCTTCTCTTGGAAATGAAACACCCAACACGAGTTTCCAGAGTTCTCGGAACCTTAAGTACCGTTAACAGAGTAACAGAAAACAAAACCCAATTTTCCATCTAAATCCACGAACTGCAACCTAAATTTGACATAATATCACGCAAATGATAAGAAATCCCGCGAGATCGTATCAATTAATCAACTATTCTCAAATAATTATGGCTATTGGCAGGAAGTTTACATTGCCAAGCCATATAGGATTTCAAGTGGAAAGTTACTCACGGAAACCTACTGCCAAAAGGCTCTTCAATGCCCATAAGTCCTTATCTCATTCTGACGGTTTGCGAGCTTAAGATCCACAACTAATTCGCTTAACTATTCTCCCAGACAAAGACTTTGTAGTACCAACTAATCTGTTAGCCGGATGAGAACGACTCGGAGGAATCTAGATCCATTCCACTTGTCTTATTATCTCGAGATGATTCAACACCTCAATAATTCAGAAAAACTCTCCGCTCTTTCCTTGTTCACGCCAGAAGACTTAAAAGAACCGCAGGGGCACAAATTGGGCAATTTCTAATTCCGAATCCTGGGGATCTGAGAATAATGTGACCTTGGGCTAAGCTCTGATCATATTACATGTCTCGAAATGCTGATCTACTGTAGGATTTTAGTAGTTCTCCCGCCCAGCCCAGAACAGAAAAAGAACCCCGGCAGCAGTGACCAAAAGCTTGCAGCAATTGTGTACCACACCCTCCACCCGGAGCATAATCCACGCACTGCTCTCCTCATCCAGATATAGAGCCCCTAATCATCCTCAGAATATCGACTTATTGTTCATCGGGATCCTTCAAAGCCTGCATTGCTCGCAACCTTCCATCCTCAATTCTGCAAACCCTTCCCAAATCTTCAATATCATCAAGATCAACCTCTATCAAAGCCTTCCGCAATCTGAGATTGAGTTTCCCACACAAGCCCTGAACCATCATCGCTTCGGTCATCTCGAGAACCGCACTCAGGCGTTGAAACGTTTCCCAAAATAGTGGGAAAGACTCATTATCCTTTTGAGATAAACGGCGATAAGCGATGTCAGCGGCGTCTTTTCGATCTGTGTTGCCAAAAAGTTTGTTCAAAGCCTCAAACATTTGTTCTGCTGTTTGATATCTCTTATAAAAACATGCTGAAGGACCACTATCAAGTCGAGAGACAACATATTCTATTCGACTAGCTCCTAAATAATGATCCATATCTAATTTCGACTGCATTCTCTTTAACCAATAACAGAAACCAATCGAATACTTTCCATGCTCATCGGCATCGAAAATAGGAACATGGAGTAAGATTTGTGAATGACCGACTACCAGCACCGTCGTGTTTTGTGTCGCATATCTCTGACATTCGTCTCGGAGAAACCTGATAACGAGGTTTTTTCATGAGGCTCCGCGTCCTTCCTTGCGAGTTCACGCTCGAGAGAAGTGACTCTATCCTGCAAAGCCTGCAAAGCGTTGACGATGTCTCTCCTGTTGATCTTAGTTCTTTTCGTTGTTCGTTCGTCCGTGAAGTTGTCTTGGAAGGTTGATGTTCATAATTGTTGGGGCTTCTGACTCTGAGATGTATATCAGATGGTACTGTAGCCCATCATTCGACCGTATACACAAGTGGAATTCTATGCCGTACAAATTCCTCTCGTGATTGTAAGATCTATGGCCTATAGGTACATAATACAAGGTGTCCAAATTTTTAAACTCAAGATTATAATAGAAGTGAATGACTGATGCTGACGGTGACTGAACACGTTATTCAATGACTCCGATCTTCAATAGCTTCACTACAAACCACAATCCAAGTTATGCGGAGCGACCATTTACTTCTCAACCGCTCCGCTAATAGCCACCTAAATACACCTTACTGTACTTTACCTACTATCCTTAGGTCGTAATTTTCACTTATGGATGAAGCATTCTCAATTATTCTCTCTCGAAGCTCCGGTCTGACCAGAAATCCCAGCACAAAATAAAAGATTAGCATTCTGTCACCAATGCCCGTCATTTCCCTAAAGGCAAGGCTAGCGCCAAACCACGTATTTTATCACTCTACAGGAACACCGATGATCTCAAGAAAAAGCTGGTTGAGCGATATGCAAAGTTAGGTACAGAGTGCCGAATAACGCAGAGGAATATGGAAGTGTATCATTACATCGATTCAATATAACTAGTCTAAAGACATACTCCAGGAACATAAATAATCGAAGTCTCGACAGGGTTCTCGGGAACTTTTCTCCTAGTTTGAGGGATTCACAGGCACTAAATTGTTGTTTCCGACCGGGACCAAACGATAAGAGGAATTTTGTCTTGGGCCCATTTTGGTTACATACCTTTCAAAAGAACTCAACACCCTTATTGATAAAAGTTCGATTAAAATCGTTATAATGTTTCGTGAGATCATTGCAGCTGCCCAACTTGATGTTTCCCGCTTCATGTATTCTTTCTAAGGTCGATGGAGAACCGTATTGCTAAGCCTGGGAATTTTTGGCCCAAAAATCTTTGCATTCGTTGATAATATCATTGTATTCTCTTTCCATGTAGTCTTTTACCGAGACTATCTCTTCGAGTTCCCAAAAGCTGAAATGATTAAAGAACGACTCATAAATTTTTCACCCGAAATTTCGACCCCCAGGATTATTCCGTGTAACCGCTCGTTTAACAAAGTTTGCTCAATGACATAATAATCGCCGCGTTTGAAGAGATGGACGTATAGCTCAAAATTATAGAAAGCCCGTTGTATTCGAAGCCCCTCGAGCCTCCCTAATTCGTTCTTCTCATACTTCTCGTGAGTCCACGGATGCAAATTCAAACAAGATTCGAAAAAATCCTGAGTAACAGCTTTTGTTGTCAAATGAAATTTTGCAATTGAGGCCAGAGTTCTCATATTATAACTCCTGTGATTGAAGGTTGTGGCTCTTGAATTTGTGGAATACTGGTCCATAAACTTGCGCACATTCTGGAATGCATTAGTCCATTCGCCTGTCTATCGTATTCTGCGTACTGAATTGCTGAACATGGCAACCGCTTGAAGGAAGATAGGAAGAGTCATTTCATCGACTAGTATTCTGCAGAATACTTCGCATTGATATTTGTCGTCGATACAACATTCATGGAAAGATCGAGAGGCGGAGATTAAGGAGTGCAAAGAATCAATGTCTGTCAATTTCTTGAATATTTGAAGCTTGACTTCGATGGGGAATTGGCCAAAAGTGTCGACAGGGTCTGTAGCAATTGTTTTTGATGAAAGGAAGTGTATTTTGTACGCTGTGAAGTTGGAGAATCAGTAAGCTTTTTAAACATTGAAATAATGCTAAACGTCTGGATCAATATGAACATCCAATCAGAATGCCCGAAGCCTTCTAAAAGATCTAAGGCTTGAGAGATCTCAAATAATATTACACAAGTGATTAAGGGGTTTGATGCTGGATGAGAATGATGTGTAGATATTGAAATCAACGAGTTCAGGAAGCTGGGTTGGACTTACATTTGCTGCCATTTCCTCGGTTGCCAAAATACGTCTTTGTAAAATCTCCTGCCTAGCTTCGGCGTGTATCCTTGACAATTCTTCTTTCTTGAGCCTCTCAGCAGCCTCTTCAGGAGTTTCTTGGCGACTGCTATTCTTTTTCTTGGCTATACTGAGATGCAGGACTGAGGAGGAGGTGAAAAGCTTAGGATAAGAGCCTGAAGGACTATTTACGAGCAGCAACTCAGAATTTATTCTGATACATTGGAATTTCGACTTAGGGCTTGAATAGAAAAATGATTTGATATTTTCCAGTAGATAAGTATAGCGTCTGACACAGAATAGAAAAGAATGTATGTGAATTATTAGACCAAGAAAATAAGAAGAAGAGAACGCAGATGAGATTTCGAGGTCCATGGTGAGCAACTTCCGTATATAGAATGAGGAGGATACACCCCAAACCTTCGTGTGACAACACCCTAAGGCAATAATAAGCCATATAAGGACACCCCAAATTTGATTTCCATGGAAAGGAGGAAAGGACTCAAAGTTCAACACAACATACAACGGTCGCCCTATCGAAATGCAATAGTATGGAAACATTGGTTTGTGTCGATAACGAATGCGAGCGCTAACCACAATTGATCATGAACTTTCAAGAATGCGCACCTCCTCGACAACAGCATCTGTTCCGCCACTACCGGACACAATACGGGCCTAATCAAATGTACAATTTTGGTCTTCGATGAGGCAAACAGCGCAGTATCGCTCCACCCAGAACTTGGGGTTTGCGACCACCTCGTCGAGCTTGCGTGAGACATGGCCTCTTCAAGATCCCTAGCCGGAAATGCGCAAACGAGGCCGGTGTAGGAAAGAACTCGACCAAAATGTGACTGTATGTCACTCTCATCAGACAGGCAAACTGTATTGAAACATTCTTCGATCTTCGGGGCCGAGAAATGTGCTTGAATTGTTTGTTGTGAATTGTGCCGTCTTGTTGAATTCTTGGTAAAGAGCCCCACCTCTTGGCTCAATCTAGCGTTACATCCCGATTTACTTTATATAAAGTACCCAGTGTTGTACATACTTGATTTTTGAATCCTTTCCCAGTAAATAATCTAAATACTCCAATATTTAATTCGCAAAGACCTCAAATATGGCATCCTCAATCAAATTTCCACCTACAGTATCAGTATCCCTCCCCATCCTTGCGAAAATGATTGACCATTCTCTCCTCCACCCCACCATGACCGATACCGAAATCGCCACTGGTCTTTCCATCGCCGCCAAATACAAAGTTGCAACTGCTTGCGTTAAACCATATTCTATTGAACAGGCTATCTCTGCTCTCAAAGGAACAGGCGTTGATGTATGTCCCGTGATTGGGTTTCCTGCTGGAAATAGCACTACAGAAGTCAAGGTGTTTGAGGCTACTAAAGCCGCGGAAGCTGGTGGAAAAGAGATTGATATGGTGATTAATATTGGCAAAGCGTTAGGGGGAGATTGGGATTATGTTCAAAAAGAAATTCAAGCTATCAATGAGGCTGTGGTGTCTAAGGGTTCGATCTTGAAAGTAATTTTTGAAAATGACTTTCTTACCGATGCGGAGATTGTGAAGTTATGTCACATATGTAGTGAGGTCGGGGTAGCGTTTGTGAAGACTAGTACGGGATATGGGTTTGTGAAACAGAGTAATGGGATGTACAATTATCAAGGTGCCACATTACCACATCTCGGCCTGATGAGAGAGAGTGTAAAGGAAGGAATACAGATCAAGGCTGCTGGTGGAGTTAGGACTCTGGATGATTTATTAAGAGTTAGAATACTTGGAGTCACGAGAGTTGGTGCTACTGCTACCGAGGCTATTCTTGAGGAGGCTATGAGAAGAGGAATTGGAGAAGAACTGGTCGAGGTCAATGTTCCTCCGCTTAGTTCAGTATGAAAGAAGTATTGAATCGAAAAGGTTGATACAGTATTATAGGATTGTTATTCTATGTTGATATTCTTTGTATTGATAATCTTACAACGTCGCCAATAATTATTCTATATTCTCAGATGAAGGAAGGTATTCGCTTCCGCATGTCAACCAATTTTCTCCAGTCAACTCTCTTACTCGCGCCATTACCTTCCGCTAAATCCATCTGCTTCCATACTGTTTCTATGATACCTCGCACTATTTCTAGATTTCTGATTCTCCTCTCACTCTGCATATCTTCCAAGACATCAAGGATTTGGATTCGTTGCTCGTCAGATATAACTTCACAGGCCGCTATGAATAACGGCCATGGACTTGTACAAATACCGTTCCTACTCAGAATCTCCAAAGCTTTATTAACTAGATCTTGTAGTATATCGGAGTCGGAAGGTATTGATAGTATTGAGTGAAGATATATGAGGGCACCCAGCCGGTAAAGTTCAGCCGTATTTTCTATTTTCATCTGATCAATCTTACCAGTGGTGTCATCTTCCATGATTGCGGAGATTTGATGAGCATTCTCGAGTTGATTTACTAGTCCTCGGGCAAAATCTTGATATTCTCCTTGCCTTTCTGTTATTCCAGAGAGTTCGTTAATACAGGATATGCATTCGAGGACCTCTAGCGAACATCCTAGCGATCCAATGATCTGCCAATGTCAGCTTCTTTCTTTCAATGCCTGTGCATAACCTACAATTTTGTTCTCGGGGTTTGCACTCGGAGCTCCCAAGAATGTACTACTTAGATATTGTCTCTGCCGCCTCCCATGACTAAAATCTGCTAGGACATCATGGTATAAAAGCCAAGTATTCAAGAAATGATCTTTCGTCATTCTCAAGCCAATATCCCTTGCTGCCTTTAAATGCGTAGGCCAGCTTCCATCGGCCCCATCAAAAACCTATCTGGAAGTTAAGAGATGTAAGCTTTTAGTAATTGGAGCTTAGATATACTTACATCGCCTACACAAAGCATCATACAAGTAGCAAATTGCCCTCGAAGTCCACCATCTCCTCTCTGAATAGACTGTGATAAAAGTCGTATAGCAGAAACCTTGTATTGTACTGCAGCTTCAGTCCCCCATAAGTGATATGCTGATACTGCAAGGATAGCATATCGAAGACTCAGACATGAAAGGTATCGATCTGCAAGTGCATTCGGGAGTAGGTAATTCCGAAAACCATTTAAGCTATCATCAATAGTAGTAATCATGCGAGACAAAACCTCTGTGTCTATAGGAGCTTGTCAATATATTTCCACTGTGTGGAGAACCCCCTTGTCTTACAGTAAGATAATAATGTCGCATCCCGTGACCCAAGAGTGGTTTCATATCCAAACTTCAGGCTTCTCTGAGGACTTGTCATGTATCGATGTGTTGAATAGCATTCCTGCTGATAGCCAGATGCAATCTTCACGTCGACAAAAGTCGAATTCAGAAACTGATATTTTTCACGTGCCGGGAAAGCTAGAAAAGCTTGTTCAGGTAGATGAGCTTCATTCTCCCAAGAATGAACTGGCCTCCGTCCATCGCCCGATTCTGGCCAGTGAAGTTTTACACCATAACCTTCACATAACCGACCAGTTCTTTTGCAATTATTGCAATGAGGAATACCTTTGTCGCATCCAATTTTCCTGCCTTCATGAACTGTTAGATCGTGAACATCCATGTGGGGGTTACGTTGGATGGCGGGGCAAGTACGGGGATTGAGAAAATGGTTGTAGATGTGGGCTTACTTTTACACGTCCAGCAGCCTTTGCTCGACTTCTTTTCTTTGGATCTTTTGGCAAGAGACATGTCTTGGAATTTAAAACTTTGCACGATCTCGATTTGGATTTACGAAGCGTCGATGTTCCAGGGTATGAGTCACGACTTATGCTATGGTCACGTGAGCACTTGTTGGAACGGTGTGAATATCACGAGTAAATGATGGAGTCATGGATGCATATAAGGGTGATTCAAGATCTGGCAAGAGTACATCAATACAGTTTTGACGGTGTGGCAGGGAATGAAAGGTGCATAGCCGCCATTGACAAGAATAAAATTAGGTTCTTTGTTCACAGGCAGTCAAACCAAACTACCAATAATATTTCACACCTTCTGGGAAGATACTGATCTCCGCACTAACTATGTTATCATAAAGAGGACTGTAACCTAGAATATAACATCTAATGCAGCTTTTATAATATAAACAGGCGACAATTTGAGCGCTCACATGTACTGATTTACAATTTTGGGGAGAAAGTGAAATTGCATATTGTGACCTCGTGGTTGAGTTGAGAGAATCAGTCTTGTTTTCTAGCGTTGTATACTCTGAGTTTTGATTAGGGTTCTGAAATTATATATATATGCAGCATCGAAGCTGTCTGTTCGAGGTTGTTGGTGCAACAGGAGAGGGAGAAAATAACGTGAAAAACTACAATTTTGTACATTTCCAGAGATTCTTGATGATCCGGAAGGAAAATATGATTCAGAAATCTTTACTTTGGTTTTGCGATTATTCAAGAGAAGCTTAAGCACACTATCAAGCTAGTTGAGACTGAGGGCTACTTCAGAAACATGACACATGGATAGATTTGATGGGGCTATGTTTGGAGTTCTAATTCTAGATTCCACGGCATAAAAGCAGTATGATAAATTACAGAAAAAAACCTAGAATTGGAAACTCATAAATGCTCATGTATTATATATCAAATGAACTATTGATACGTGTACAATAGATCCGCTGAACTAGAAAAGTGCACCACCAAAGATGGTAGCGATAGAATGACCGATCCAGGAATCTTCATGACCCGTCCGGCAAGTGTATCCAGATAACTTCCCACAGAAACGCCTAAAATCTTGTTGGTATCCAAGCCACCAAAGTGACCTTTTGCTAATCGGAATTCTCAGCTCAGCGTAGGATTCCGTGGAGCAACCCATGCAGGGTATTATGTACAACCTCGTTGGCCTGGTGTACAGCTTTATTGGCATCATGTACGGCTTGATTTGCTTCGTGTACGGCTTGATTGGCATCGTGTACAGCGCCGTCATTATCGCGGACAACGAAACGCTTCATAGTGTCGGTGGTACTACTGTCAGTACCTGATTTAGGAGTGTTCAGAAAAATCAAGGACGCTATGTCAGCGTGTGGCGGTTGATCGCTGATATCATCACGCCTTTCAACGCCGCCAATGATACCTCCTGCAGCGTCGTCCGTATCACCGCCTCCTGTAGCTTCGTTGGCAATATCAGCTGCACCGTCGAGAACACCATTTCCTTCATTCTTGTGGCCATGATGACGCCTCAAGACATTGCGGGCAGTAAGACCTCCCGCATCATCGCCGACAACACCACGCCTTGTAGTACGGTCAATGAAACCACCAGGTGTAGCATCGTCGGCAATGTTAAGTGCATCGTCGATAATCTCGCCTTCTTGACTCTTGTGGCCACGATGAAGCCCCTCAACATCGCGGGCACTAAGACCTCCTGTAATATCTTCTAAATTGAGACTTCCTACAGCATCCTCGACAGCGTTACTTTCTGAAGCATTTTTCGTATTGTCATTTCCTACAGCGTTGTTGGCAGTGGTACTTCCTGCAGTATTTTTTGTACTATCATCAGTTGTGGAGCCACCGATGAGTCCTCTAGTTCTGAGTATGGCTGAACTGAAAATCGAATGTTAGCTTTCAAGATAAGAGGATAGAGTATAAATTTCATGGAACAATGAAATCAGAGGTGTGACGGGTGCAATGATATAAGACTGAGTGTTTCTTAAAGGGACTGAACTCACGAGTCAATGGGAGAGGCAAAAGTGGTAGCCCATAAGAAGGAAGCAACGACAAGAGCCGGCTTGGTGAGATGCATTTTCGGCTTGGTGATGAGCTTGTATCTGGTCTCTTAGAAAGTTGATTAAGTGAGAATTGTGGTTAATGCAAGAAGTCGCTGGATGCCCCTTTCATATGGTATGCGGATGACTTTCACTTGAAGATGGAGATGTTGCTAATGATCAAACGGAAACAGGATGCGTCATGTCTCCTCTTATATATACCGATATATGTTTTACGATGGCTCAGAACACTTGTTGACATGAACCTTTCAAGGAAGAGAAGATGTCCGAATACGAGACAATTGACTTCGAAAGCACTACAACGACTTTCGAGCCATTTGAGACGAGAAAGATAAGGGATCAAAGCTCCTAGACTAATGGTGAAAGGTCTCAGACTACTTCCAATGCAAGAATGGAGAGACTCTCAGGTTCGAATCAAGCTGACATGGAATCCAGCGTAAAGACTGGACTGGACCATTGATAGCGCTGCTTCCAAACATAAAGCGCATTAATAGCATATTCCCTGTTGATCACAGGAACGAGACTCAATTAGAATTCATAAAAGGAGAACCATAAATAGGGGTAGTCTCGCAAGTGAATTGTTGTAGGAAGAGATGGTCGAAGACTTTCTCGGTAAGAAATGCCCATTACCAGGCGGCCGGAGACGAACAATCAACCAAAACTCTAAATAGCCAGATGAAAATCTTGAAACAATAGGTTTCTTTGGTTAAACATAGAATATCAATACATAAACCTATATATTTAGCAATTAGTGATTCCTAATTGCTTCCATCGAAACTCTGTCCCTTGTTTTAGAAACCGAATTTAACTTAAATCGTTATCGAAGTATTAGTGAGGGTTATTGAAAGTTTGAATCATTTCGAATTGAATTAAGTTAGGTCTTAAATAAAGTTGACTACCGAATTGATCTTTCGCTGATCAAGATTATCAAACTTTGACTTTCGATAATTAATAGTTTAATAAATATTAATAGGCTCGAAGTCTTCAAAGTACCTATCAGATTTAAATTATGATATTCCTCTACCAACGTCTAGGTAGTTTTAGGGTTTGATCAGTTGTTCGTTGCCGGCCTCGATCTCGGTATTTTGAATAATTATGCTTCTCCTTGTGATCACAACTCTTTCATCGTCTTCGATTAAGTGTATAGTGACATCTTTCGGGAGATTACAAAGGACCAATAGTGATGTCAACATTTTATGATACAATTCATGATACATTTCTTTTGACAGCTTGAGATAGTAAGCGAAAGCATTTGGAGCAAGTCTTTGTGACAAACCTTAACCTTAATCATGTGACTTGAAATTTCAGTCGTACGCTCGTCACGAGATTCTCTTCCTCATCACTGAGAAGTTTTCCTCTGCCCACTTAAAGTCAAGAGAGCAACTGCTCAATCTAAAACTATGGAGTCTTCACTGATAAATTTGGATCTAATCTCTGACACGAAAGTATCATCGCAAATAAATCTTCCTCCCGATGCAAAATCTATGACTCAAGATGAGATAGATACACATATATTTTTCATGCGTGAAGCTCTTGCTATGGTATTTCATCTAGTTATCTATTCGCTTGGCATCAACGTTGACGTATTTTAGGCAAATCTCGCCCTGAACACCAATGAGACCCCCGTAGGTTGTGTACTCGTTGATCCAATCCTCAAGAAGATCGTAGCTAGAGGAATGAATGCCACCAACAGGAGTTATAATGGGACAAGACATGCAGAATTTATTGCTGTTGATGAATTGCTGTCTTCGGGTCCCAAGGTTGAACGTAGCGACGCGGATGAAAGTAAGAGTGCGAAAAGAAAGAGAGGAGAGAATGGAAGTGAGGGCAACGACGAAAAAGACGATGAGAGCGAAAGTTTAAAGCGTGGGTATGGGCCGGAAGATGTGAAGTATTTGGATCTATACGTCACGATAGAACCATGCATAATGTGTGCATCATTATTGCAACAATTTGGAATACGAAAAGTATGGTATGGGGCGGTCAATGATAAATTTGGAGGGAATGGTGGAGTTTTGAATATTCATGTTAGGAACGGAAAATTTAATAGCAATGACGCCGGCGAAGATGAAGCAAAAGATGGCAGGAATCAGACAGTCGAAGAAGAAAGAACAGAGAAACATGAGGGCGATTATGAAGTTAGTGGTGGGTGGTTGCGAGAAGAAGCTATTGTTATTTTAAGGAGATTTTATGTCCAAGAGAATGGAAGGGGTAAGTATTCTGATTCTCTTTCCATTATTTTGAAGGCCTCACAAAGCTAATTGCTACAGCGCCCGAACCCAGAAACAAGAAAGAGAGAATATTGAAATTAGAGGTGGAACCAATAATAGATTCGAGAGTAAAGGGTGATGAAACGGGCTAAATTTGAGATATTTTGGTCTACTGAGTGGCCTCCAAAAGATTGAAGATAGGTGGCGTATGGTTTGGATGCAATAGACGGTCGAGATATACCCCGGGTAGTATATTAGGGAAAGACATGATGCATATTACGCGAGAATTGGATGTCTAGACGTCATGTAAAACACTCACAATCTCACAACTCGGGCTCGCAACCGAAAAGTTAAGCGCATCATTCCAGTTCCCCTATTTACAATCGTCCTTTTCGAGTTGTTCGATTTCACCCCCAAAAGATGTTTTCCCTAAGCGCCGCTTCATCACAATTCGCACTTCTAGTTTGACAATTTCTTTCCCGAACTCTCAGCCTCCAACTCTCTCTCGGCTTGCTGGTAATACTTGGCTGTATCAACTCCATGCTGGTTGTGGTTTACCATGTTAAACCAAGGCATAACATGCATCCAAACTCCTGCATATCTTGAATTCCTCGATGCTACTCCCTGAATATATGGTGTAGTTGAGCTTTCTCCATATAAAGACTCTCCCTTCTTAACTTTGCTCACCATTTCTCTCATGTCCATTTCTTGCTCACGCTTGTTTTCAGTGAAACCGTAGAATCGTACTGTTATTATGAGTTAGCACATTTGAACGAGTTCAGATGAAGGCGGGAAAATGAAGCGGGGAAAGCAGATTGATCTAAATACATACGTATAGAGCGTTGGTAAAACATAAAGAAACCAGCTCCAACACCAATAACTCCCGATAATCGCATGATAGGAGCAAATCCTCCTTTTCCAACGAGTGAAGGTGAAATTCGTTCCCACAACAACATCAAACCCGGTCCTGCAGTAGCCGTCGCTGCTCCGACCGCATAGTCCGATGGCCTTGCATAGCCAAGTACTCTTTTAATATGTCTGTATTATACGTATTAGTGTTTCGCCCCTCTTCGCGATCTCACTGGCGGGGTTTATGGAACGTACGGGTCACTGTCGATGAGCTTGGGAGCAGTTAGCTGGTGTGTTTCTTGCGTAAAACTTCGGCAGCAAAGTGACGAGAACTTACAGGATACTCGGTGTTGATTTTCTTTGAAGGCACAAATGGCCTTTGTTCGGTATTCGACATTTTGAAATATGCCAATTGCTTACAATTGGGATTCAGCGCACTGGTGAGGTCAATTCTTGATGGAGGTTCGATATCGAAACGCTAAATTGTGCATGGGCCACGTCAAGATATTTCTGCCTGACTTATATTGATTTGTGCCTCACAATCCGTCGCGTCTTCCCTTATCGTGGACGCGTCTGATAGAACGAATTTTGGTTCTCCATGTGAATTTAGGTTATATTCAAATTTTAAGGAAACGAAAGCTTACTGGATTTTGATCATTGATCTACTTATACAATGGAATCTCCACCACCAAGGCCTCTTCCCACCGAAACGCCCAATGCCGGTGGGAATGAATTCGATGATCTAGATGACCTTTTCGATTACGATGCTGGAGATGCAAATGATCCTTTCAGCGATAATTACGTGGTTCCTGGAAGTAAAGAAAAAGAAGCAACCAAGACCTCAGAGAGCAATACCAAAAGTGGTGCAGGACTTGGTATTGATGAAGAAATCCAGATTACCAAAAAGCCTAGAGTCCCTCGAGTGAAACTTGATGAGCACAAGTATGTCCAATTTGTCTGACGAATTGACTTGAAGATGCTAACATAGATTTCAAGACTTTTGTCATCTGCAGGAATACCAAAATTACGGAAAAAAGCGGCAGATCATCTGAAGTTTAAGGGTAAAGGCCATGAGGTATGTGTTGTAACAATTTTGTGAATATCAGCTTTATACTCACAGAAATACAGTATTCAGATGCAGCTCGTCTCCTTGCATTCTACCAACTTTGGCTCGATGATCTATTCCCAAAAGCCAAATTTGCTGACGCATTAGCTATGGTCGAAAAGCTAGGTCACAAAAAGATGATACAATCTGCGAGAATGGACTGGATTAATGAGGGGAAAGCTAAGTCATCGGTTCACGAAGATTCACTATTTGATGAACCGGAACTTCCTCCACGCGATGAAAATGAACGAGAGAAAACAGTCGCGAGGATAGCACCGATATTCGAAAATGCAGCGAGTGAAAGACTTAAAACACCAGTTCCAAATCAAGATCCGGACTTCGATGATATGTATGATGCTACTCCGAAGAATGCGCGACAAAACCCAGCTATACAGCCGACTTCAGTTTTTGGTGGTGGTAACAATAGTATATTTGGTCCCCCGAAAGTTACCACAGCTGGGGATGATGGGCCGCCAGACGATGATCTGGAGGCATTACTTGCAGAAGCAGAACAGGAAGGGGGCGACGACGAAATGTTGGATGATGATCTTGAAGCATTGTTTGCCGCAGATAACGACAATGCACCTCCTATTCGACCTGCAAAACAAGATACAGGAAAATCTACACAAGCGGAAGATGATGATTTGGATGCTATGGAAGCTATGATGGATATGGACGGGGGATGGTAAACAGGTTGCGGCTGGCGTTAGGGTATACAATGGTAGCATTATGAGGCGTTGGGGTGAACTATTTTGTATGAAACTTGTTAATTCGGGATCGTATTCCAATGAGATGATGCTCTCCACAGTCCAAGTAGCCTACTAAATCACACGATTGTATGATATCAATTGAAGTGATTGACAAAGGTGGGTCTGATGTGGTGAGCAATTGGCTATGTCATTGAGCCGATTAGATCGAATTGAATAGAATGTCAAACATGGACGAAGATTGTAAAACACATCTTCCTCAAACTCAAAAAGGAATTGTTCGAAATGCTCTAGATTCCCAAATTATAATAAATTGGTAACACTATCATTCAACCTTTTTCGCTGGTGAAGTGCAGAGCCCAAAAGCCCAAGAACCCCACCCCCACCATAATTTTGTAAAGCACGTACCTGAGAAGCTGCAGCTCCGACAGCTACCTACTTTACACAGCACTTCCAAAATTTGTGGAAGATCTGTCAGTTAACCATGGCAGAAGGTCTAGTCGCAGCTTTAGATCATCTTGATCTCGAAACGCAGGATGACTGGATTGACAGTATACTCGATGAGCAACGTCCACCAAAACGCATCAAGCAAAATCGCGACGAGCTTAAACAGGAGCTTGAACAGAAGTACCTAACGCCATCAACCACATTTTCTACAGAATGGTTGAATAAGCTTCAACAGTAAGTCTTATTCTTCCTTCATTATCTTCATACTGGAGTCCCGGTACATTTGTGTGTTTGACAAGACGCGCGAAATAAAAAGTATGGGTAGCTTCTTGGGCATTACTAACATCTATTTTCATCCAGACGCTGGGATTCACCAGCAAATTATACAGACCTTTTTCAGCTCGCTCCGACTCAAACACGCACAATCACGCGGTTCACAAGGGAAGGTTTAGAAGGGCGGGTCACAGGTTATAAGGAAGTTACAGTACCAGCAAATAGTGCAACTGCTAAGAACTCTACATCTTTTTTGAGAAAACCAGCAAATAAGGCAGATTTTGTCAGAGGTGCAGCAGGTTTCTTTCCATTCGCACCTGGAGGACTAGATGCTGTAGTGGCTGCTGCTGCTTTGGATGAGCAGGTCGGTAAAATCGATGATGCAGTACCTGGAAAAAAGAATCTGGAAAGAATCATAAACTTTGGTGGCGAGGATGGGCTATTAAGCGTACCACCAGGATTTGCCAGGGGGCTAAAGTTTGAGAAGAAGGGAGGAGTTGATGAGAAAGAGGCTGAAGACGTGAAGAATGTCCTAGAGGAAGAACCCGCCGAGGAAGTGTCTGCAAATGGAGCAGATGGTGCCATGAAGGATGAAGCTTCTTCGGAAAGCTCAGACGAAGAAGAAGATGATATTGATTCAATGTTGCCAGTCGAGTATCCGGCACTGGAGCCCCACGGTGCACTGGCAGCCTCAAGCGCGAAGAGAAGCGGAAAAGAATGGGCACATATGGTTGATATCAAGAGAGACATTCCAAATTTCAGAGAATTGGTTCCTGACATGGCAAGAGATTGGCCATTCGAGCTGGATACGTTTCAAAAGGAAGCAGTTTATCATTTGGAAAGCGGAGATTCAGTTTTTGTTGCTGCTCATACATCGGCAGGTAAAACAGTAGTAGCAGAATATGCTATTGCTCTTGCCGCCAAGCATATGACCAAGGCAATTTATACATCTCCAATCAAAGCATTGAGTAATCAGAAATTCCGAGATTTCCGACAAGTTTTCGACGAAGTTGGTATTCTTACGGGAGATGTGCAGATCAACCCTGAGGCGAGTTGTCTTATCATGACCACAGAGATTTTAAGAAGTATGCTTTACAGGGGTGCTGATTTGATCAGAGATGTTGAATTTGTCATTTTCGATGAAGTGCATTACGTTAATGATTTAGAGAGAGGGGTGGTCTGGGAAGAAGTTATCATTATGTTACCAGAACATGTAACATTAATTTTGCTGTCCGCAACTGTCCCAAACACCTACGAATTTGCATCCTGGGTTGGAAGAACTAAAAAGAAAGATATCTATGTCATCTCAACTCCGAAGAGACCGGTTCCACTAGAACATTATCTTTGGGCAGACAAAGGCATTCACAAGATCGTGGATGCAGAAAAGAAGTTCATCGAGAAGGGTTGGAAGTCCGCAAACGATGTACTATCGGGAAGAGATAAAGTAAAAGCTCTTCCTCCACCAGAATCCTCAAATGCTCGTGGGGGAGGGAGTCAAAGAGGTAGAGGTCAAGGTCAGAATGGCCGTGGTGGTGCACAACGTGGAGGAGGTCAACAACGTGGAGGAGCACAACAGAGAGGCGGTCGTGGTGGTAGTGGACCACCCCGTGCTAGTCATAACCCAGGGCATATGGGACGTGGTGGTAGACCTGGAGGTCGAACAACAGCTGCCCAAGACAAGACATTATGGGTTCACCTAGTTCAATTTCTCAAAAAAGAAAACTTACTCCCAGCATGTATTTTCGTCTTCTCCAAAAAGAGATGCGAAGAAAATGCAGATGCATTGAGTAATCAAGACTTCTGTACAGCGACTGAAAAGAGTGCAATACACATGACAATTGAGAAATCCATTGCTCGACTCAAACCAGAAGACCGGCAATTACCACAAATCATTCGGTTACGAGATTTACTTGGACGAGGTATTGCTGTTCACCATGGTGGTCTTCTACCTATTGTGAAGGAAATTGTTGAGATGTTATTCGCACAAACTTTGGTTAAAGTGCTTTTCGCCACAGAAACATTTGCCATGGGATTGAATTTGCCAACCCGAACAGTTGTCTTTTCTGGATATCGCAAGCACGATGGACAATCCTTCCGTGATTTGTTGCCTGGAGAATATACTCAAATGGCTGGTAGAGCAGGTCGTCGTGGATTAGATCCTGTGGGCTCGGTTATAATCGTTGCACCGGGAGGTGGTGAAGCTCCACCCGTTACTGAACTTCGACAAATGATACTCGGAGAACCGTCAAAACTTCGTTCTCAATTCAGATTGACCTACAACATGATACTTAATCTCCTGCGAGTTGAGGCTTTGAAAATCGAGGAGATGATCAAAAGAAGTTTTAGTGAACATGCTACCCAACAACTTCTACCAGAGCATGAAAAGGCGGTCAAATTATCCGAAGCAGACCTGGCTAAGATCACCAGAGAACCTTGCGATGTTTGTGAACAAGATTTAGATACTTGTCATGAAGCAACTCAGACTTATAAGCAACTCACTCGCGATGTTCATATTGGATCACTATCAACTGCTATTGGTCGTCGAATGTTTGTTAAGGGTCGATTGGTAGTTTACCACAAGGATGGTGTTCGCACACCTGGTATTCTTGTTCGTGACGGTGCTACAGATGTGAATGGCCTATCTGTCCATATTCTCGAAATCAGAACAAGACGAGATCAATGGGATACAACTGATTTGTTGCCATTTGTACCCAAGTTTCGAGGAATATTTACCAAACTTCCCAATCTCAAGAAGCACATTTCCACCAAGACTTGTTACGTTCCTGTTAATGATCTGGAGTGCGTCACGAATACGATTGTGAAGGGGGTAGTTCCTGACATATACAAAGGTGGGGAACTTTATGAGAGCGCCAAACAGATTCTTTTCAATCTGTGTTCATCGTGGGAAAGTGATGTATGGGATGAATTGGACTGGGCTAAGATCAAGGTTCTCCAGTTGAGGGAAAATCTTGTAAAGCGTTCGGAACAAGCTACCATCACCCAGGAAGCTAATTGCTTGAAATGTCCTTCATTTTTGAAACATGTAGGTGCCCCTTCAAATCCTTGGTTGTATCATACAACATGTACTGACAAACTTGCCCTCAGTTCGCAATGTGTCATGATCAATGGCTGATCCAAGCCAATATCATTCAACTTCGCCAACTTATGTCTGACAACAATCTTCAACTATTGCCTGACTACGAACAACGAATCCAAGTCCTCAAAGATCTAGACTTTATCGATGACGCCTCTCGCGTTCAACTTAAGGGAAAGGTCGCTTGCGAGATACACTCCGCAGATGAATTAATCCTGACAGAACTGATTCTCGACAACGTATTATCAGCATATACGCCAGAAGAAATCGTCTCTCTTCTTAGCGCCTTCATTTTCCAAGAAAAAACTACCGTCGTCCCAACTCTTCCCAGTTCCTTAGAATCCGGCAAAATCAAAATCCTTGAACTCTCAAAAAAGATAACAGATATGCAAATATTACATCAAGTTATTCAACCAACATCTGAATCCAATGATTTTGAAGCTCATCCTGAACGTTTTGGACTCATGGAAGTCGTATATGAATGGGCACGCGGAATGAGTTTCAAAAATATTACAATGCTGACAGATGTACTTGAAGGTACTATAGTGAGAGTCATCACGAGATTGGATGAAACCTGTAGAGAGGTCAGAAATGCGGCTAGAATCATTGGTGATCCTGAGTTGTTTCAAAAAATGCAAACCTGTCAAGAGATCATCAAGAGGGATATTACTGCCGTGGCTAGTTTGTACATGTAGATGGGTGGTTTTTATGATTATGGATGGGTTAGACGATCCGAAAGGGAAAATACCAGAGCATTGCCTGTATATTACTATATCTATGGAGTTATGAAGTAATGAGGAAATGAAGAAATACATTTTGATTAATTTGATCATTCCAGATGCATGCATGACCTGCAATTGGTGTCTAGACCTGGGTGATCTAGAGTAGGAGACCAAAGAGAAATTTCCGGGGTGAATCCTACGCATTGGAAAAGATTTGTTGCATATCTCATTATTCAATATTCTAATGAGGGCTTGGGGAGAGGGTTGGATTGGTGGAATGGAGAAATTTAATTCAAATTTTCTGTGGTGTTTATGTTTGTTATATTTCATCGGATGTATATCAATTGTCATTACATAGTGGTATAGTGGTTCAGCTCCGATGATCTCTCGGAACATACATACGTACTGCAGGACGATACGATTGATACCCATTGGCTTATTGTGCCGAAGGCTCAAACCAAACACTAATGTGATGACCTTCATCACTTTTACGTATCGCGCAGGCGGTTGGTGATAAGATGGGAACTCTCTTGGAAGTAACACGTAATCTGTTTTCGGGTCGCAGAGGAATCTTTTATTATGTTTTCTCTATGCCTTGAAGACATTTTCAATCCCGATATACGCTACTATTCGTAACACTCATCTCATGTATGACAGCGTTTAAGTTCAAGTCTGATGTATATATTAAATTGGTATTTTCTTAGTCCAAAGCACTAAGTACATCTAATCGAAGATTTCGTTAATGAATTCATATATTCATTCCACCCTCATATTCGTCTTCATATGATCTGATGAATATGAGAATAACCATGACTCCGAATGAACGGAAAGCATGATATAACAATTCCAACGCATGCCAGTGCTTTCTTTCCCTCATAACCTTTCCATTTTCTAATGCATTCCCCGTACCAAGCCTTTCCAATTCTTATCCCCAAACTCCATGCTTGCGTTTGCAAAGAAATTTAATTCCGTGTGATCCCCTATAATTCATGCATGCCATGCTGGTATTCTATCCAGTACCTATTCATCGCTTTTCCAGTCCAATTCTCCCCCTCCCAAAACCCGGTGCGTAATCATAAATACTCTCTCGATTATTATTCATGCCCTAATAATCCCCAATTATCCATCGCTTTGCCTTCCATAACTAAATCATTAACTCCCTCGATCTTTCCTCCCACCCCTTCTAAGTCTAATACCTCAACCCGCTTCATCCACGTTTCGGGCCATATCAAATAAACCCCATGAATATCTCTCATGTGAGCTTGCCACTCTTCATCAAACAGCGTTTCACGGTTATAGCAAGGGACTTGTTCACCACTAGCTTGCGATAACGATTTGCAATAGTCGAGGATGGCGAAACCTTCCGAGGGAGTGATGACGGTCCATTCGAATTTTGTACGGAGAGCATGAGAGCGAAGAGAGGAGAAGGGATCGGAAAGGGCGTGTGTTGAGCCTTGGGCTAGAGAGCGATAATTGGAGAGGGCTGAGGTACTGTTTGGACTTGGGACGGTAGAGTAGGATAGTCCGCTGGTACTGGAAGGGGATCGATGAGAGGAGTATGAATCGTAGCTCGCGGTGGACGTTGTCAAGGGTCGTTGAGCTATACTTGTATAGGGTGAGGATGAGGGAGTAAGAGATGCCGAGGAGTAAGATGAATAGGAAGGCGTATGTGATGAGTATGTGAGTTGGGGATGTTCATCCTCCAGCGGTGTGATATTGCCATGTGATGAGTAATGTGACGTGGATCCTGATCTTTCATGTGAAGATTTGTGAGTTGGTACTTCTCTATACGATTGGTTAGCAAATGATGTAAAATTTCCATGTGAACAAATTATCAGGGGGTGAAAAATCCCCCCAAATAGAGAATCTTACAATCTTCCTCTTCCACTAGCTGCCTCCGCTATCGTCAAATTAAGTCCTTCATTTTTGATATGAACAGAAACGTGTTTCCTCAATTTTGCAGCTGTGTCTGTTTCTTTCATACAAAATCCACAAACACTTTCACATTTCGCTATCCTCAACACACCCGTCGTATTCCAAGGGGGATGTGTATGACCTCTACTACACGTAGTTGGTGGAAGGGAGCTTTCCCTATCCATTCTTCTGGGCAACGAACTCTCTCGTTCTGTTCTCCTCGACTGATGACTAACTGAAGGTTTTATATCGTGTCCTTGACTGTGACTATGGCGAAAGATTCGAGTGTGGATCGTGGTCACCATTTAGACGCTTTGATAGGAAGATGTGAATATAATTCGGACTTTGGATCGTAAAATTGTTATGGACTTCTTTTCCCCAAAATGCTAGTAGGCCGTTGGAATCGATGTAGTGATCTGACGATGATGATGATGAATATGTTGATGAAGAAAAAGCAAAGAAAATTCCAAGAATGCTTGGGTGAGAAATGCCAAATTTTCCGAGATCGATATATTATGGGAATTCGATTCTTGAATATTGCTTGAACAATGTAAATTCCAAGCGAGCGATGAATGAAGTTGAAGTTTAATTTGCTTAATGTGGTTGAACTCCCGAGACTCGTTTCATGTAAAAGCTGCCAACGTAGATTTGAATGAAACACCGACAGGAAAAGCATCCATTCTTATAAAAATGTGAAGCCTTCAAATTCAAAGTAAATAAATAATGATAGAACGGAAGTAATAAGCTTAAGAAGATCTTCAAGAAAGGATGATCGATCGGTGGGGATAAGCAGATTATTATTGTATTGCAGCTGGTATTATTGTCATTATTCTCATTATTATTTATTTTATCTTCCTAAATGAAATACTTCAATCAAAAGGGTACAAATGTCACTTCATGGCCATGGGACGCCAGGGACGGTATGGTAAATTTACTTAGCTTAGTAGGCATTAGGTTGCGGTTGCGGTGACGGTTTGTGCACGTACGATGCGGCGATAGTATTAGGCAGTCTCGAAATCGAAATCAACATTACTCTATTGGGAAATAATCGCGAACTTGGAATTGGGTGTGAACCGGTTTCAGAAGTTGCGATTGGTTGAAAGGGGCTCGAGATGGGGTAACAAATGTAAGACTAATGAGCATTTCTGGTGTGAGCGAAGCGAGGAAGCTTGGATGGAAGGGCAATTAGACCGAGCCGCACACGTGGGATGGCATGGCAGCGTGGGATTCCAAGCGATGCGTACCTAGGTATAGTTGGTACCAGTCAGTGCCCTGTGAGTGAATTTGAAGCGGATATGCGTGGGTAAAAGTGCCAGAGACTAAGATCGAGATGCGAGACCGAAATGTTAAAATAGTGGATTTAATGGATGAATGGATGCGATGCTTGCGAGTCTAATCGGCATTAGTTTTGGGTGTGGGGACCTATACTGTCGGAATATGGAAAGTTTGCGAGAAAAAGGAAGAACATTAGAAGACTGGTAGGCTAAAGGTATTAGTGGTTCATGGTTCATCCGATTTTGTGGTTAATGTATATCTGATATTTTGATACCTAGGTGACACGCAGTGTATTTTGATATTGTAACAATTAGAAGTATTCATACTATACAGGTCGTGGACAATCAAGTAGGCGTGTCGTCACAGCACGAGACTTCTTACCACATGCATACGGTATCTATTCATTCGTATTCAAGATCGGATGGGTCTGGGAAAGTCTTTTTTGCGGTGCTTAATAACGTTCTACGGAGTAGCAACAAACTCCTCCCCGCGAGAACAAACAGGGGATATCTTCCTCTTTCCGGGGGAGATATTCAGTCAATATAACCTTCACATGAGATAAGTTATGACGAAACAAATCAAACGAGACAAGGGGGCAACGAGGGATAACGAGCATGATAATGGAAGTTATCACGGGATAAGTTAAAATACATTAAATTAACTTCAATAAGGTTTACACATGCAAGCATGGATTGCTACAAGTAAGAGTATATGAGCTACATACGGAGCTACCTCCTAGGTATCCAGCAGGGTGACCATGTGAGATGGGAGATGATCGCCGGGAAGGAAGATGAGATGAGAAGGCTGCCACGAATCCATGATTCACTCAAAAGAGTAGAAAGTTACGAAACTAATGTCTATGATCGATCAATAGTTTATTAACCAAGGTTTATCCATGGGAATATCCGAAAGAGTCCAGAGTACAAACAACTAATAATCAGCAATTCGCGTACTGAGAAGTTTTATCGACCTTTTGAAACATCGTCGAAGAGAGATACCGAACATAGAGTAAGACAAAAGCTTTCGCCGATTAACCCTTTTCTAGAATAACGGTTAGAAGGCCGAGGCCACACCCGGGGTCCAAAGGTAATATGGATAAAACCCTAGACTCCGAACTTTAGGCGTACCATGATTCTCTTAACCGTGGCACTGGAACACTGAAAATCTATTATATTTTCCTATGCATTCCCACTGGGATTCCTACCTATGAACCCAAAACCACACACCAAAAGTCATACAACATGCGATACCTAGGTATATTTAGATTTAGACGTGAAAATAGCCTGAGTGGGATCAACAACAAAGATCGAGATGAGATGAGGCTTGCGAGGAACACACGTCGAGATGCTAATGTGTCCACGTCAACATTGACGTCCGAAAATTAGTCGATGGTTAGAACAATGTGAACCCATGTATTGTGTAACTGTCGTCGACAAATCGCATCTTCAGTTGGGGGTTTTGGGGTAGTTTAACAAACTGATAGATGTACGATAGCACGCTACGGCACAATCTAATGCATGTCATAATGTCAGGGTGACTAGTTAGAAGTCATTGAACGAGTAGTGAAGAACAGCTGATTTCTAGTCTTTAGAGTCCTTGACAACGCTTACAGTTGCAAGCCTTTGCGGCTTATTGTTCCATAAATCACTATCACTATCACTGTTACTATCGATACAAGAGAACGGATTTAGAAGGTGGGACACATTGACTATAAAACTTGGAGTTTTCTTCCACCGAATAGGCGGGAAGGGGTGTATATTGATCGAAAGCCTCTTCTATATTCTCCTTTGCAGCAGAAGAGTAATGCTTGTTTTCATGTTCTCCGGCCCCTCCGATTCGTATGAAGGCAGGTTGATAAGCTAGTTCCATGTGGGCGAAAAAAAGCGATATGCTCAATCACACATGTAGATTCATACATCGAAAACATTTATATCGTCAAACGGATTTCTAATGATATCACTTACCTAGTATGATGAGATATAAATGGAATAGAAAGTATATTATATGAGGGCTTATAGGTACGCACGCTCGATTTCTGTAACAGAAGAATTGAGTTCCCGAATTGCTATCAAATATTGAAAAGAGCGTATCCTGTTCTAGAGTCCCAGTTTTCCGTTCTCAGCCTAGGTACATTTTTCGAACTTCCCCTCACACTTTCAAAACAATCTCGCAAAACAAATAAATCAGAATACGGGCGGCACTTCAATTTTGGAGGCACGGGACGGACGGGAGGGTCCATAACTAACCCATATCTCCACAAGTCAAGTAGAGAGAAAAGACATCGACACACTAAAAACACACCTGGGGAACGGAAGATGCGATTCGATGATTCTTCGTGGTAGCTACAGCTCTTGACGTCGAAACAATAAGCAACACAACCAATGAGTCCCAACCCCTCTACCTTATAAACTCTCTATTCGTCGCCACAAATGCATCTCGAGAGTCGGAATGTAATGATCGCTATTCGAAATTGTTGCTACATGAAATGGCCGTTTTCTTGCCGAAGAGCGGTATAGTTAATGAGACAATCTCGTCGCGACTTGCTTTTTGGACGATTCATGAAGCTTTTCGCAACTAACTGGCGAATGAATCGACATCAGGTCTAGAATCCGAGGGGTTTTACTTTATATTGTAGATTGTACCACCTCGGTGTTTGTGTTTAACTGGTGCAACGTCAGATCTTATCTTACTCATTCTCGGTCTGTTGTATCACTTCGTGGCCTGCGCAATGGTGGGAAGTGTCAATGGACGCTTTTGTATTGAACAAAATCTTTATCTACAACGTGTGATTTTGTCGTAGCATGGGCATCGTGCCGAAGAAAATTCAACCTAGGGAGCTTTTCCGCTACTTTGATTATAGGGGTAGAAAAATAGATGTTTTTAGTCTTTAGGCTTTCTCTACGCTTTTCATAACGTTACATATTCGGGAGCAACGTTTGAGTTACTAGGCATTTCTCCAATCTTTTCCCATATCCTTCCCCCTTCATTTCATTCCGTACGACTCATACAAGTACATCTCGCATCAAATTTACCTCCAATCTACATGTAAACGGTTCTCATCTCATGATTCGTCTCCTTCGATATGCATGCTGACAGTCAGCCCTAATCGTTCAGGCCATCAGCATCAGCACATTCTTTCAGCCCTGTGAAAGATTAAATAACCCGTCATGCCGATTCTTTTCCACAATCACAGCTTACGGCATTCTCCTCCCGAGTTTTCTAGCCTCTTTTCAGATAGAGTAGTAGGTTATAAGTAGGTCAAGTAAGGTGATGTGGTGCTTACGGTAGTTTTGTGATGCCGGGAGTGAGCGAGCGATATTTCGTTAACCTATGAATGAGGGTATCTTCCACGCCGAAAAGAGAGAGAAATATCGTCGACGGAGATATCCCAGATACTGCCTGATCTTTTCTTCTCTTCAAGTTGTGTATCACGATATGTATCGAGATTCAAGACAAATCCTCATGAATCGTGTGTAAGGATCATTGGACTCGTGCTTGAGCTACGATGGAAGAGGCCAACCGTGTATTGCCCAACCAGCACTTTCATTGGCTGCAACACAGATCAACGGATTGTAGCAATTGGTGCTTGTAAGAAGATCTCCACAAGGTTCAGGCTGGGAGTCGTAAGGTTTAGGATACACAAGGACATAGCTATCGTCTCGCCATTCCTCTTTTTCACCTGGACTAATAGTATGAAGTATCGATGATCAAGGAGAGGAGAGACAATAAGAGGAGGGAGGAAGGCAGGAGAGGAGAGGCATAGAATTAAAATGGAGATTATGAAGAATCGAAAGAATGGAAAAAGCAGGAGTACGTACCTACAGACCACAGACCACAGACTACAATGCTGCAGCAAAGGTTTCCTAGTCTCCTGAGTGAGCACACAATCGAATGATGTGATTGGTTCCGAGGAGAAAGGTGCCGAGGTTCTAATGATTTATCGGTATAGCTGCATGTATAGCTGCATATTTCCTCTAGATACCCAGTAACTTCCCTCAACCCACCACACCTCGATCCTTCCTTCCATTCCTTCCATTCTATTCTTGAATTTCATTACAGTGCAGTCGGTCGCATTTCTTACATTCTGTTGAGTATTTTTTGGCTCCCTTCCTTGAAATAATTTGGTAGTCTCATCAACTCGTCATACCATACGCCAAAAAAGGGGATTATCATTATCATCGACGAATCTGGAGAAATCTCGAGATTCTCGGGTGAATGATTTCCCCCTTCATCTCACATTCTCACACATTCTTCAGCGCCTGAGTAAACTGCACTCATCTATCTAATACATAGGTACATCCAATCTGCATCTCAAGGTCTCAAGGTCTCAAAGTCGCAAAGTCTCAAAGTCTTAAACAATAACTACCCATCTACTTAATATAATTCATGACCAACTCACCGAAACCGTACAACCTCGTGTTGCGTTTTCTTGTGTTATAAATTCTGCCTATTCATTCATTTCATCTCAATCATTGGAGATATCTTTGACCATCTTTGACCATCTTTGACAATCTTTAATCAATCTGGATTTGAACGTTGAATTGCTCTGCTCTGATCTTTCTGATCTGAGCCGATCTTAATATTATTCATTTATCCTTCTGCAATTCTCACACACATACTCTCTCTCTCTCTCTCTCCCTCTCCTTAACCGCCCATCTTTGACTTTATTATTTGACCATAAGACGAATAAACCTCCGAATTAATCCTGGACAAATTCCGTCCTGTTGCATTGCGGCGCTGCTCGGAATCGCAAGGGGGATAAGGTATTCTTAGAAAAATATTCCCCAAAGAAATGCAGACAAACCTTCAATCAAAACAGTCATGGCAGATGCGACAGAGACTGGAAATAAAGTGAGGCAGCGTCGTGCAAGTCGCCCAAAAGTAAAGACAGGATGTAATAATTGCAAGTAAGTTCCTTGGGGGTTTCTTTCCTTTTTCCATACTATTTTAGCACTTCTGGGGTTCCGTGCTCAATTTCCCCGCGCCCTACGCTATGTGATGATGGTGGTAGCAAGACACTCAACCTTTGGCTAATTCACGGAACTTTCTCCATTTAATAGGAATCGAAGAGTGAAGTGCGATGAAACGAGACCTGAATGTACAAAATGTGTTAGATCGGGGAGACGATGCGATGGCTACCCAGCGTACAATCCGAGAAATAGGCATGCCAATAATACTCTACCAATTGCTCCTCGACCGAGTAATGCTGGGTTGGAATCGCATCCAATACCATCCCACAACACCATAACAACGGCTTTACCTGGTTCAACGGCACTCATTCCTAGGAAAACATCACGTATTATCAATAAATCAAGATCTATCAGTCCATTCTCACCTACCACGCCATCAATCCACACACCATCAACCATCAATTCTATCGAAATTGATTCCGAGATATTTCGACCACCCACTCTCGGTCTTCCATTCGACGCAAAGGAAGGTCAATATTTCCAAGTCTTCCGCACTCATACCGCCAGCGAATTATCTGGATTCTTCGATTCGGAATTCTGGACGCGCAGTGTTCTTCAAGAGTCGCATTCTGAAGCATCCATACGTCATGCCGTTGTAGCTCTTGGAGCTCTCTACAAAACATTAGAAAAAGTCGCTGAATCACCCCCGAGTTCTCCTACCCCTTCTAATCAAGGTACTTCGAGCAGCGATTCCGCACCTACTCATTGGAGTTTCGCTTGGGAACAGTATGGAAAAGCAGTTACGCGCATGCGCCAGAGTATCTCGAACAATGAGGTCAGATCTCAACGAACGATTTTAATTTCCAGTGTGTTATTCACTTGTTTTCAATCGTTTGTGGGGGATCACAAGGCTGCTATTAAACAAGTACAAGTAGGGTTAGGAGTGATGGAAAAACAACGCAGGGAAAGAAAGAAACCGTATATTCAGCGCGAAGATGATATTGTGGAAGAAGAGTTGGGACAAATGTTTACACGCATGGCTATTCAAGCCAAATCATATGATATGGCGTTTCATTTTCCAGCTCCATGGGTTATCCGTCTTTCTACCAATCCAAGTATCGCTAATCCCGTAGCATCACAATCCGGACCGCCCTCTCCTTCGACAAGTAGCTCTCCAACGAATCTCGATTGGAGATATCACGTTTCTCGAGATCCTAATTTGGCAAATCCACCCAGTCCATCCGATAGCTCAACTGGCACAACCGCCTCAATCGAAGCCCCCATTCCCGAAAGCTTTCCAAACATTCACGAGGCAAGATTGGTACTCGATGCTTTATGTGAAAGAATTATGAGATATAATGAGGAACTAGTAGGTTTCTACACGGTATCCAATAACATTCTTCCTGCCTCGATAAAATCCAACGGATACGGCTTCGGTCGTTCTCTCGAACAATGGCAAACGACATTCGCTCCTCTTCTTGCTAAACGCCGTGCGCCTGGTACTTCGAATATTGAAAGAGCGGGTATCATTGTTCTTCAAATGACATGTATCATGACACGAATTCTGGTCTTTACCGCATTTTCCGCCAACGAAATGGATTTTGATCAATTTCTTCCTATATTCACCGAGATCAACGAATTGGCTAAGGAATTGATCGTAGATGAAGAATTAGCATTGGCACAAGCGCGATGTGGAGCAGGTTGTAAGCATGTTACTTCTGGCCCGGGAATCAAAAGGGGAATGCGAACGCCATTTGGAGTTAAGGTTACGAGTTCTTCTCCAAGTCCTGGTCCCGATGGAAAACATTCGCATGAGACTTATTCGCATATTAAACCCTCTTTCGCACTTGATCTTGGTATCATTCCGCCATTATTCGTTGTGGCGACGAAATCGAGAGATAGAAGATTGAGGAGAGAAGCGATCAGTCTTTTGACATCGAGTCATAGGAGAGAAGGAATGTGGGATTCGAGACTGTGTGCGGGAGTGGGAAATTGGATTATGAATGTGGAGGAAGAGGGGTTGGATCCATATGTTAAGGGGGAAGCATCGGAAAAGCAAGTGGTGCCGGATGAGAAGAGGGTGATGGTTATGGAAATGTGGTTTAACCTTGAGAGGAGGTGGGCAATGTTGAGGTGTGGAACTAGGGGGGTGAAGAAGGGAGATTTTGATTCGAGGGCGAGGGAAACACCGGTTTCTTGGTAGGGAGGGGGGAACTGGGGAGAGGAAAGAAGTCAAGGAGTGGCGGTTGTATGATAGTGTACATACATGCTTTTCCAAGGCGTCTGGTATGGATTGAATGGGATGGGATGGGATCAAACGTATTTGGAATTTGGGGGTTGGGGGTTGGGGATGGATGGACAGAACTGCATAGCAGGGAAATACATTTGATTAGGATTTTGTCCCTTGAGGACGGATGGGGGGAGTATTGATGAATGGATATTAATATTCATATCTACATCTATATTGATAGTCACCTACATAGATGAATCATAGTTGAAAAAATGGAATTAATTAGGATATGGAAATGGAGTCCAATAGGAGGAGGAAATGTTGTATTAGCTAGGTAGTTATGTGGGTAGGTGGGTAGGTGGAGTGGAAGAAGAGGTCTAAAATGGACGGATGCATGGATGCATGAATGGGCGAATGGGTTTGGGCATGGTGGAATGGCATGGCATGGCATAACTTTTAATCAGTAAGATATGGATTTTGTTATTTTGGGGGAAGGTTTAGGTGAGGTGAGGTGAGGTGGAATGGGTGGATGGATGGAGGGATAGTATCATAATTTATGTTGTAATGTGAGTTGTAATTTGAGTTTAATAAATAAGTATTTTAATTAGTGTTGTATATGAATATGAATATGAAGTATTGTAATTAGTAGTGTATATGAAGTAATGTATATGAGTCCTTTTCTTTTGACGGGGTTGATGTTTGGAGTGAGTGTGGGAGTGTCGGAGGTGAAGTGAGAGAGGGAGATTTTTGAATGTATGAGATGAGGCTGCTGGCATTGATATTCTCCCCCCCCTCCCCCTGTGAGTATTGTAAGTAGGTAAGTAAAGTATTGGAAAGAATGAAATACAATCAATGTATTTATTTATATATACTACTTTCATGAGTTTATGAGTTTATGAGTTTATGAGGTTCTTTCATGCTACATTGCTACCGAAGAAAAGAGAAGAGAAGAGAAGAGGGAGAGAAGACTGGAGTCATCGATGATTGATATTTTCATTTCTCTCATTCTTTCATTGATAATACATGCTAGGTAGGGAGTAAATCTCCCATCATCCACCCGGATGCCAGCCCCCATTCCCATTCCCATTCCTATTCCCATTCCAATCTCATATATATCTATCCTTTTTCCATAACCAGCCTTTGTAAAGATGCAAAAAGAAAGACATCAATCGTCAGAGTATTCCGTCGTCCTCCTTCTCTCCCCTTTATCCATATCCGAATCTCTCCTCCCCATTTCACTTTCCGCATTACTTCCCCTCCTCTCCTTCTCCCTCTCCTCTTTCTCTTTCTTCTTCAACATCTGCGGACTCTCTTCTCTCCTCACCGGCGGATCCGGCACCGCCGGTTTCCCGATCTTGCGCGGACTATTCGCGATGTTCCGTTCGCGCTTGCGGAGACGATCGAATTTTGTGCGGGCGTGGAAGAGGGCGTCTGTGATTTTTCGATGATTGCCTGTTCTGCGAGCGGCTTCCTGGAGCGCGGTCTTGCCGGCTTTGTTTTCGAGGAAGAAGAGTTCGTGCGAGGTGTTTTTGTGGGCGAGGATTTGCGAGATGGTTTTGGGGGTGGAGAAGAGGGCGGCGTGGTGGAGGATGGAGTTTCCCTCGCGGGTGAGGAGGGTGAGGTTGCGGGTTTTGAGGAGGAGGTAGGTGATGAGACGGTCGCTGTGGATGGGGATGTCGTGGAGGGATTTACGGAGGGCGAGGTGCAGGGGAGTTTCGCCGAGGGGTTGAGAGCGTGTGTGGAAATTTGTGGGGGGCATGGCGTCCCCGATTAGCTCGATGATTTGACAGCCGGAGATGGTGTTGCGGTGGTTTTCGATGAGGTGGTGGAGGGTGGGGAGGGTGAATTGGATGGAGCAGGGGCCTTGGAGGTCGAGGAGGTGTCGGATTGCGAGGGGATTCTCGTCTTTGATGCTATCGGAGAGGACTTGTTTGAATTTTTGGAAGGCAGTATCTTTGTAATTGCATTTGAGATAGATTTCTTGGAAGAGACCGGATCGACGATGGTCAATGGCTAGATCGAGAGGAGTGGAACCGATTTGATCTCCGTCGTCGAGGTTTGCTCCGGCTGCTATTAGAGTTTTGGAGAGAGACAATGACTTATGACATATTGCGAAATGGAGAGGGGCCATGTGTCGATCGTTGAGTAATGAGATAAATCCTGGACGACTAGTCATTTGAGACACGAGGAAGTTTCCTATTTCATGATGTCCGAAACGGGAAGCCCAGTGAAGGAGAGTATCATTATTACCCGTACCCGTTGATAGTATTTGAAAAACGTTGACTCCATTTTCTAAGAAGTGTTTAACGACTGGCAGTGCTTCATTTATTCTTGTAGCTAGAAATATTGGCGGGTGTCCTGTTCCATCGGCATTGTAGTTAAGATCTCCACCTTGTGCTTTTACAGCATCAATGATCGGTATCAAGGCCCCTATCTTATACCTAATCAATGCATAAACCAACACTGATTGATTTAAAGAGTTGATGGCCAAAACATCCGCACCACTTTGGAGTAAAAAATCAATCAATCCATGTTGTTCAGCCGCGACAGCAGAATGTAAAACTGTATTCCCTGCCCAGTCACGTGCATTGATATCAAGACCTTTGGCAATGAACATCTTCAAAAGTCTTTCATGACCAGCTGCAGCTAAGAGATGTAACCAAGTAGCACCATTTCTTTCTCTTCCTCCAAAACGAGTTTGTGCCCATCCCAGCGATCGATTGTTGAAATATTTCATCACATATTCGGATTCCCAGTGAGGGGCACAAGCCCATAGACGTCGTTGAGAAACATAACTGCGACCTCGACTGTAGACCCATATTGACCTTGCTCTCGGTTCCGGTTCATTATCTATAGCTGGACGAAAGTGACGACGGAAAGCTTTTTGATAGAGAAGGAACGTTAGGATTTTCGCATGGCGTTTGGAGGTCTGGATCAAGGCGTTTAGTGGAGCTCGTCGAAGGTGGTCGCCAATACATTGAATTAGTTCTGGTGGAAGGTGATTGATATCCATGGTTCAAGGAGGTTTTGTGAACGTGTTGATGAAAGGATATTGACACAAGGCAGTAGAATACTGCATCAAGACTTGATTTGATGGGTATGTTAAATTAATCCTCGATATCAAAGTCAGAGTGTTTAAAGTACGGTTCTATTTTCAGTGGTTTGCCGTATTGCTTTTTATGCCCATAGTCCGATTCGGATCGCTCTGGCTGAAGGTTGAGGGACGATGATTTAGATGTCAGGTGAGTAGGGTATGTTTGGCTTGAAAGGTCAAAGTTTGCCCCTGATTCGGAATAGTAATTAAATTGAAGAAAAAGCAAGTTCAGTTCGACACTCAGGTGCTTCGAATGTTTATGTGAGGTCGACAATCAAATGTTTTGAATATTCAATTCTAAATTCGATAATCGATGATCGAACACTGTTTTATGTTAGGCGTGGTTTGGGGGGGTTTCAATATATAAGAATCAAGGACAGATTGACAAGAGACGATATGTATATCAATCAAGAAGGACCTCGGGGGGTGGGTAAGATTGAATTGAATGTAGTGAAGTCGGTGTAAAGAAGGAAATATAGTGAGGCTGGATATCTATCAAATCGATGTAACTTTCGTAGATATTGAATTGAAGAACTGGAGACCAAAAGTTGTTACAACAAGGCTTTTCCCGTAAAATAATGATTCACTTGGTATTGGGTACTTTGGATCTGGATTTGAATCGAACATATGGCGTGATAATTAATTCCTAGATTTCTAGAGTATCTTGATATATATCTCTTAACAATTCTTCTTCATCCCTTTCGCACAAAGTATACGTCGAATGAAATGTTCTTTTGGTGTGGTAAGGTTAATAAGAAGTATGGATCAATGTAAGGCAGTGGTAGAAGAACAACACATTTCAGCCGAAGGATACCGAATCCGAGAATCTTCTTCTTATTTGTATGGGATATGGTACGTACTAGATATGTATGTAGGTAATATATATGGAATCCGTGTTCTAGAAAAAGAATTGACAACAGAGCAAATGTAAATCGTCGAGTCACACGATATGTGATACTTGCATATGCAACATTTGAAGAAGCATGAGGCTCCTCCAAGATCTCATTTGTCCATGGACTTGGTAAGGTTGTCACAATTGTCATGGCTGCCATGGTTGTCATCAATGGTCATACAATCGGTGGGCTAGAATTGGTCGATAGTAGGGATGCTTGAGGGAAGGTAGGGATGAAAGTAATGGGGTGGATGGCTCGGATGATATGGTGGTCCAATAACTCATCACCATTCTTATACAAGCAGAGAGGAAAAGGCAGCAATAGCCGCGACACACCAATCGAGAACTTAGAGAATCTTTAGGCGAAAAGATAGACAACGACAACAAGAAAAGGACAACGACATTATGTGAACACGAAACCACCAAGTCATGTCACTGTGATCAACTTCCATACCGATACCTGGAACATATACATATACACGTTTGGCCACCACAAATGGTTACGATAATTTTGTGTTTGAGCCATTATCTCTCTACCTTATGAATCTATGAAGTTGAGGAATGAGAAGCTGGACAGAGAGCCCTATCATCCATCCATTTGACCCACTAACTCTAATATTCTATGATCGGCCAGCATTATTGTGATTGTTAAGGACATTCTCTGTTCAATGGGTGCATAGGTAGGTAGGCAAGAGTTGAAGACACTAATTTGGTTATTAGCATTCAGCTTTGTTCGACCTCAAGCAAGCTTTACACGTCGAGATCGTCGAGATTGAAATCGCTCAAGAGCCCGAATATCCCCAAACATATATGAACTCGAGTGCCTTCAACTATTTATCCTTCACGATGACCTGTTCTTCTGCCAGAAGAAAATATTCAACCAGCTCCTCATCTCTGTGGTCTTCCTAGGATTTGGTTATGCGCGAAAAGTGGCCGCAGATGGCGTCCTGTTCAGTGGTACTGGTAAATATGAGGGAAATCTCGAGATGGGTTCGAAGTGAGGTATCGGCATATACATTCGAACATTTAAAGGCGATTTATCGATCATCTCCTCCAAAACTGGCCTTTGTGATGCGTCATCAGCAATAATTGCAATGTCAACTGCCAATACCTCGTAGTGGACTTTCCCTACTTGTCCTCGAATTTGCAAACTCCAACTGCTATCTATACTCCATTATCTGTTGTGGATTTCGAATCTCTGCCATGAATATACAAGGGATATTGCTGGAACGTTTGTCTTTTTGGAGTCATGGCGGTAGGCTTTGATTAGGTATCGTTATGCTTTCCTGGTGGGTATCTTCTCGGGCAAAGTAGAAGAGCTGGTGAAGTTCTCTGTTTTGATTACTTCAATAAACTTTTATGAGGGTTCCTTTTCTTTCGTAAGTCTCAAGGTTTGTAGACAATACTTTGAGGTATTAACCATATAGACTTTCCATGTGTATTACTTCTCGCGAGTTTATCGGATTATGGATTTCATTTAACTGGTAGTGACTCTTTAAAGCTATTTGATGTTAGCTATTAGCCCTCGAATATTTGTCATTGCAAACATTCTATACTTCATAGACCGCGAGGGAGAATTTTGAGAGATGAAAGCCGTAGGGATGCATGCCTACTTACCGCAAGGTTATGTGGTATCCATATCCATACTTCCACACGAACTGAGAAATCGAGGAAAGCTCCCGAAGAATTCGACCGGTCAAAGTGCTTTCTCACTTTGATAGCTTCAATTTAAAGAAAGATACGAAGCAAGTTACTTAACCATTACTCGCATCACACTACTTGACTTTGCAAGTAATTGTTGTGCATTCATCTTGCAATTCTCCTTTGATATAGAAGCCCTCGTTCTGCTTTGCTCCAACAAAATCATATCCATATACCTACTGCTTCTGACATCTCTATTCTACCCAATCGAATTGGTCGGTTTATGTTTAGTTTATTTTGAGTTATTTCTTGGTGAGCCTACCTACCTAGGTAATGACAGATTTCAGAATTTTCTAGATCCATTTAAGGTCGAGGTTAGTGGGAGTCGTCACTCTAGACCATCAAACGTCGTTCATCATCACCCACACTGATTTTTCGGAATCTGTTTCTTCCCCATGTTGTTTTATTGCCCTCTTGATAAAGTCGCTCTTCATACTTTACTTTAACAAAGTATAACATTTGTTTCTCCCATTATTCTTTGTAATACCCTTCATTTACTTTATGATGGCTACCGCATTCGTCGATACCCCGTTCGAACTCCCTGCCTTCAAGACAAATTATTCCATCTCGAATTCACAGTCGAAACCGATCACCCTTACTCCCTTTCTCAGATTATCATCTGAACTTCTATTCTTCTACCAATCTAAAGAACTGGATGCGAGGCCTTATCTAGTAAGTCTAATTCATGATACGATGATGTTGCGACTAACAAGTTTCTTCTGCTAACACATCTTTGAAAGAAGATATCCAAGTCGCTCTTTAGACCCTCAGGGACTCCCTATGTATATGCACACGAGCTTAGAAAGCTAAGACATGTTACAGAACTCAATGTGTTGTTGTAAAGCATTTTGAAGTCCCAGCGTGAAGACATTGAACGCTTGCTATCTCGGTGCACCTCGGTCTTGGGTGTATCAATTTGGTTTCCAGATCCTGCGCTGGTTGAAACCGTGCGCGAAATGTTCTGCTTCTGTATTCGCGGCGTTTGCGTAAGTAGTGAAGTCTTACCCGCTGCGTGGCGACATCCAATTTACAGCACTGGAAAAGAAACCTTATACTTTGTCATAGCAAATGCAATTGTTTGAACGCAGTTCCGCATTTGAAGGTCAACCCAGTAGATATTTCTTCGAAATGATCGAAAGACTGCGTGAGAAGTCTGATTCTTTAGGTCAAGCATGTCTGAAAATCGGCATGACTGATTTGTCTCTGATAAGTCTGGAAAGCTATGCTACCTCATGTTGCCCAATATGTCAACATGACCACCAAACCCCGAACTACTCGAAACTGCTGCACCCAGAAGATGAAGGGGGAGCACCATTGAAAAGTCTACCGCCACTTGATGAAATACCACGGCTATCTGTAAGTATCATCTGCGAATTTCAATTTTTTCTTGAAATGCATAATCAAATCATAATGTAGATGCTAACCAGAATAACCATTGCCACAGAAGCCTGATAAATGTGTTGTTTATTACGAACCTAATCATACGCCCGTGGCTACTGTACCCTGCGGTCATAAACATACCTGCTTAACATGCATTATGCGATGGACCAAAAGCGAAGAAGAAGCTCCTCCTAATGGATGCTCTTATTGCCGTGCCAAGATCGCTCGCTTGGAAATATTGATGCCCTATCGAGTCGAAGAATCTCAAATGAAATCGGAATCCTCACTCGCGAGACCCTTTGCGGAAACTGAAATGGGCTATGAGGAAATGGAGAAGAGGCAGAAAAAGGCAATAGAGGTTGTAAACCTGGTGGGGGCTTGGATTTGGCGGGTTTCGAAAGAGGATAGAAAAAAGTTTGTAGCACAGCGAAGGCAGGAACGGAGGAGCTGGAGATTGAGATTGAGAAGGAAAGCTATAGTTCACAAGGCCAAAACTATTTAATGGAGGTGTTTAGGAAAGGGAACTCGTCAATTGACGGCAGTGGTTTTGGAACTGGCTGTAGTGCGCTGGATTGGTAGTACAATGATTTGGGGGACAATAAAGCAGAGAGTACAGAGTTCTGTGATTCTGAGCTCCTCATAGGTACATTCAAGCGTGCCATGATGACTATGTTTATTGTTATACCGTCGTCAATACCATACTTGTTAAATAGCAGCATGCTCTTGGGCACATAGATATTGGGTTGGAAGACCGGGTTTCACAATTGTCTCTTAATTTTTTATGAGAGAAAAGGCGAGGATACAGGATCTATCCATATCTCTCGAGAGTGGTCGAATTTCTTGATAAGTCAGTTGCTCGCTCGTTTGTTTGAATATGAGCATCTGTTAAAGATGAGCTTCAAGTTATGAGAGAGGTGTCGGGTAAGAGTTATGCTTTTGCTGTTGCTGAAGTTTTTATTCAGCGTGTTAATAGAAGTGGAAGATTTGAGGGATACTTTGGGTATGCTGGGTATACTTCGGATAGGGGAGATATGACCTATCGTAAGGGTTCTGCGGGGGTTGTTCGGTCTAGAGGGGGAGAGGTCGCTTCTCGTAGGGATTTTAGATATGAGATGGGGTATGTTGGTGACGTTGTTGAGATATGGATGGAAATTTATATTGTTAGAGGAGAGCGAGGGCGTGGAGGAGTGGGAATTAGGTAGTGATGATTTTTTGGAGGTTTTTTAAATTGGATTCCGAGCTACCAGTGTGGACACAAGTGGTAGAAGATGGGTATCACCAGTTTCGATGCTAGGATATGCAATTATTCGAGGATAATCAGGTTTCAACTGATTTGATTCCTCTTTGTAACGCGATTCTCTCATCTTATTTATATGAATGAATCGGTTGTGTTTCTCGGCATGTTATATTAGCCATATCTCATTTTGTCTGCCTCCACGGCAGTGGCCCTCGGAGAGCCAGCGGAGCGTAACACATTTTTACCTGTCTTATTATTATGGGGACAAGCCCTCAAACGTCCTTCTGCTCACTGCGCTCGAAAGATGAATGATTTCATCTTTCCATCAATAATCTATCTGTTATGGCTCAAATTCAACAACTCCAGGAGTTTTAATGCGCTTGTACACTTTGGTACTAATGATTAACAGGCAGTCATCATGCCCGGATCATTTTTGTGCGGCACAGCATGCCAAGACTTTATAACATATCTTCAATTGATATTTCTTCTCCTTTAATTTTAATTAACGATTTGGTTCTTCTTTTCTACTTCTGTCGATTGTCATTCTGCAGCTCCTTTTTTCGCTCTTTATGAATTTGTTAGTCTTGATTATATTTCTATCGAGTTATAAGTTTATAATTAAAAACCTTAATATATAAGCTTTCTTACCCCACAATAACCAACAACATCACTCACTAATTTTATCTTCCTTATAACATTTTTTGAAATTGTCAACGCATCCTTCAATTTCAATACTTCTGGTCCAGATTGGGGTTACGTTGCTAAAGGTCTTGCAAACACCACTTCTAAAATTTCTATAGCTGCCTAGAGTGCTAGTATCGATTGAGATGATACACTATTAGGATTTGTTGCTTCTGAGCGACCTACTTTCAAACCTACCTCTACAAATTATGAAAATACTTGTACAACAACTTGCTTCGACTCTGTAGATACATATCTCAAGGGTATTCAAGAGTCATGCACTGCAGATGGTGATGCTGCACAAGAGTATGTAGGAGGGACTTCTCCTGAAGCTCTCGTACCGGTAGAGATTGTTGCCCAAGTATTTCAACATACACTTGCGAGATATTGTACTACGAGGGCGCAAGTACAATTTTCATCCCGAATCGACTTCGCTAGCTGATTTTGTAGGAATGGTACATACTGCCATACTACCGGTTTCACTTCGTTGGTCTCAATATTCTCTTGTGATGATGAATGTGCAGTTCAGAATTTTCAAATGGCTCATGATTGTCCGGGTTCGACTGTTGAGAGTACAACTTTGAGCTCGACGATGGTAATGACTACATCTACAACCTCGATTTCTTCTAGTCAAACTAGTACTATAAATTCCGCTTCCAGTACTGGTACTGCTAGTAGCATTTCTTCATCTGCAGTAATCTTTTCAGAATCGTCATCACCAACTGTAACTAGTGTAACCACAAAGTCGCGCGCGCTGAAGATTGGTCATTCTCTGGGACTAGCGTTCCTAGGAATTTCCTATTCGATGTTTTTCATGCAGCTCTAGAAAATCTGACATTTTTCCTACAAATTTCTTGTTATGATATTATTTTTCCTAAGCTTTTTGTTCTCTGCTTGTTGGTAGAGTTTTCATGCCAGCTACCAACCCTCGGCACAAAAGGTTCTAAGTTATAGACCACTGAGAGCATTTACACTTATTGTATGATTAATCGCAGATCGTGTATATAGACAAATTCGTATCTGATCTGCCGCATGTTGGAATCGATTTATATAAGTAATTTGTTCATCTACAGGTTTAAAGAAAAATTTGCTCAGAATCATTCTAGGCGACCTTTTTCTGAATCATACAGTAGTTTTATTCTTATGGCCTCATATAATGGGCCTCTTGAAACTAGATGTATCACAGCTCCATATGACATGCCATTCTCCCTTCATTGGATGAAGTTTTAATCAGTGCTCGCAATGAGCAATAAGTGGGTTTCGTACTTTTGCTAAACCCAACACAAACGGTCAGTCCAGAAAAGACTATTGGGTCACTTATGACCCAACCTATGGGACCCAAGATTGGATCGAATTAACCAATTCAACTATGCTGCACAGAAATAATCTACACTTGTAGGTGATTTACAGGTAGTCTGTTTTGCAAGTAATTCGTTAAACATTCTACTTACTCTATAGGTTGTCTGCAATAATACTTTATTAATTCTAGTACAAATCGAATATAGAATTGAATTTAGGTTAAAAAATCTCTGTACATCTAAGCTTAATCAACAATGAGTTCTAGAACCGCCTACCAATAACCTTTTTGGGTTGTTCAAAAATCTACTTTGTAAGCAGATAATCTGCAGATTATCTACAAGGCTAATAATCTGCTCTACAGATATCCATTGCGCAATCTAAATCCAATCGTATCATCCGACCCACTCATTGCGAGCACTGGTCTTTGGTCTATGTCGGCCAAATTTTGGTCATATGTAGGGAGTTCACCGACCAGCTTCATGACACTGGGTCAATAATTAGTTTTTCTCACAATCATAGCAATGACCGCAATATCGACGTATTGCCAGTCAAATGGTGGCCAAGTGCGAAATTCAAGAAGTCCAAAGATGTCACTATTTATGGATCTGCCAACATCTCAGTAGGTATATAAAGCTCTCAAAGTACTAACAAACTATATAATACATATATCATCAGCAAATTCATCAATCGATCTTATAAGAATAACGTTCCCTTACAATTCTATCCTCAGAATAAGTGCAGAGAAGCCATCGATAACAAAATGCCTTCCCATCATACTTACAATAAGGATAAAACAACCAGGGTGTTAAAGAGAGACCTAGAGGGCAAAGGCAAGTACGATGCAGATGGTCACGAGATCACTACATATAGAGTGAACAGCAAAGGAAAACTTGTACGTTCTATAGATGGGACACTCAACTAGAATGGGAAAGAAGTCACAAAATATAAATATTGCAAAGAGGAAGACTACTATCGTCTAGATGCTAATGGGAAGCTTGGTCGAGATGAAGTCGACAGCTCCCGCCGGAAGGTGAAAAAAGCCTCGACAACATCTAATCTTACAGCTGGAATTGAGCAACAGAGAGCAGTGGCCCAGCGCGAAGGAGATAGAGATAGACGGCTTGAAGCTGCAGAAGCTAGACAACCAGGAAGTCGTGCTGAATCATCAAGGACATCAACAGGAGGAGGCTCAGGTGGACAGCCTCGTACAGCATCTAGAGAGAGACGAAGGAGGCAGAGCCCGAGTGGACAAACTCTTACTGCAGAACAAATTGAGCGACAAACTCAAGAAGAAGTAGAAGCAACAGCACGCTTTCATGAGCCTGGCGTATTTACCGAACGCCAGCCGCCTGTCGGCTCTCAGAATTCATCAGACAGGCCACCGAGCTACGGAAACCATAAAAAAGACTATATAGATCGACAAATTGCCGGACCAGCTGAGGGACCTCGCAATGCCAATGCCCCGCCTTTCTCCGATAAACCTCTCTCGGCTCCTGGGCCAACTGGTCAGACTCCTAAGTTAGGCAAGCGGGTGTCAAGAGATACAAGACCTCAAGCAACTTTCGGCGGTAGATATGATCCTGCCGCTCCTCCTAATTATTCAAGCGACGAGCCTAAGCGTGGAAATGAGTCGATCACCAGCGGTAGTGATGGAGCAGGTCGTGGATATCCTAGTGGTTCGGATGATATTTTTAAATGGTCTAGTTCAGAAGATCAAAAATCATCTGGGGAGAAGGGCAAGCCTAAGAGTGTGCCTGAGCCGAAAGGTACTTCAAAGAGGGGAGGTTCTTCTAAAGCAACAGAACCGACAACAACCAAAAAGTCATCAGCCGGAAAAGCACCAACCAACAGTTCTTCTATGTCAAGACCGTTGTCGGGCGACAGCTCAATGGGAGACACGGAGAGTTCGCCACGAAAGTCTTTGGCACAACAAGGACGCAGCCGAACTGAGGATCGTGGTTTCAGCAAAAGAGAAAGTAGCAAAAGAGAAACTAGCGAAGAGAGACGTCGTGGTAAGCTGCCTGTTAGGACAAAGGAAGATCCGGCAAAAGGAAGTAGTTCCAGGAGGCATCACGAATCGTCGGATCCTGATAGTCTTTATGGAAGTTGAAAAGTTGATGGAAACTTTTTTGGTACGTAGATTTTTGGAATGGTGATTGGTTGCTTGTTTGCTTGCTTGAGGTTTTGGGATGCGACGGAAGGGGAAGGGGGAAAGGAACGGTGAGAATGGAGTTGGAGTTGGAGTTGAGGGGCTTGCTCTTGGTTTGTTAGTCTGTCAGTTTATTTGCGTTGATTGATTTAGTTTCCGCGCTGGACGCGGGGAACATTTTGCTTAGGTCTCTCATTTAATTACGTTTAGCTACACATATGCATATAGATGGGGAAGGTTCGGCTAGGAAATTCAATTTGAGCACTCGTCTCGGGTGTTTCCCCACCATCTCCACTTTTTTGAAAAATTTCTTCTCTCTTTTCCCCAATACTTCCAGACTAATTCCTTGAATTCCATTTGTGTTCTCTATATATATTTAAATACGAGCGCTGTCTACATCAATAAATCACCAGCGTTTGTGGTTTAGTGGTAAAATCCATCGTTGCCATCAACTTTCTCCTTATAAGAGAAGTTCGAAACAACATCGATGGGCCCCGGGTTCGATTCCCGGCGAACGCAGACTTTTGTTTTTTGAGACGATGAGGAAGGATGCTGTCTTTATTTAATTCTTTTCCCTTCTCGGATATCATAAGAGATATAAGGAGTTCCTTGCCGAGATGTGGAACGGGGTCTGGAGTGAATATCTATGTCGTTGAATAATTTTGACATAAATAATACTTGAGATCAACCACAGTACTGGTAGTATGATACTTTTGAGATTTGCAAACAAAAGTGAAACAAGTAGAAGCTTGAATTCGGAATTTGAATTTGCTCGCTCATGCTCTTCGAACCTCTTTTTAAAACTTTGAGGGTCTAAATCGAGTGAGAGATTGAGAGATGAACGACATTGAGTAATTGTGCCGTTTTCTTGCGATCGGTATGATCAATATTATTTGAATTGATGATTATTAAGTACACAGAAACAACGCTACAAGGACATTTTATGCATTAGCACAAAATGCGATCATATGATTCTCATATAAATTGACAGATGGTTTGATGACAACGAGGTTGATGACAGATCTGTTGATGATAGATTTTGGTTATTTGATATCCGACTCGCGTCGCTTTTTTTGTAAGCGTAGTTGGTTTTCTTGAATATGGAAGAAACTAACAGCTTCAAGAAAATTGGACATAGTATTGCGGTTTTGCTAGCTGGTTTGCATCGAAAGAAGTGGCTAGTTTGAATCGAGAGATGAGAGACAAGAAATTAGAGGACCGAGAACGAGCATGTTAGTCATAATAACAAAATAAAGAAGAAGTGGGAAGGTATCCTACCCAACATCCGAATTAATTATCGCTATGAGAGAACTATGCTACATGTAGAATGAGAATAAAAACAAAAAAACGTTGAAGCGAAGGAGACATGGACTTAATTTGGCAGATCTGAGTATAGTGTTGGTGTGATATAGAAAGCACTACGATAAGAGTACTCCTAGTTTGTTAAGAAGTCTCTTCCAAAAGAATCGAGCGAGAACTTTGCGCATACTGACTATATGAGCTGGACATCTCGAATTATTCTGTTTGGTAACCATATTTCCTTCAACCCGAACTCGTGCTTTGAATAAGTGTTCTGACCCCCTCGTAACTTCTCTCCCAAATCAATCTCAACACAGTCATTGGAGGAGATTGATATCTCTTTCATTGTATCATCATATTCACTCCCTACTGTATTAAGATGACCAACCCGCCCAAACTTACCCTCGCCTATTTCTTCGACCACTAACGTAAAAATAGAGTCGTCCGGACCCCTCAGTGCTTCGATTATAACACCAAGTAGTCGCCGGGTTCTTATTTGGCATAAAGACTTTTCTTCAGAGTTCATTGCCTTAGTGAGAGTAACCTTCGTGGCAAGTTGTGCATCAACTTGGTCGGTTGATGCTGGCCAGGCATAGAAGTTGAATAAACCACCATATTCATCGGCCCTGGGAGGGAGGAGTTTTGCGAAAAGATCAATTGTCCAGCCTTTAATACGAATACTACGCGAAAGACTTTCAAGATTATCTATCTTGATGTACTCATCGAAAGCCTCCTGAAAGCCTACAAATGAACCATCTTTGCGCCCAATAGAGACACTGACTGCTAGTTTAGAAGGAATCCAGTTTTCTGTGTTGAAATCAACTGAGATTTTTGGAGATACTGAAAGGATTCATCCAGCCCAAGACCAACTTGGAAAGCCTGGACGTCGCGCTCCTGGAGATTTTGACACCCAACTTAAAGACACCACAAATCTTTGCCCAAAGGTCTCATGCGTTTTCGCATCATCCTTTCGGTGCTTGCAGGTAGGTGTAATTACAGGGATACCCCAAAAATGGTGCACTGCATTCTTCTGTTGTCTGAAGAAGCGGAACACTCCTAGTAATGCATTGAGGGCATCCACTGAGCACGTTACCTCCCTCTTGGAGTGCAATGATAACACTTTGTCAGTGCTGGGTCTTGTGAGACAACATTCTTGTTGATGCTTGCCTCGGCATGATTCGATCCAGCTTCGCGAGATTGCAAAGTCTATAGTTCCTGGATCCACGACTCGGATAGTCTCGCTAAGGTCAACAAAACACAAATATCTATCGGAGTACAGTGAGTAGACGTTCCGTCCTATGAAACTTCCAACCCCAATCATACCATGTAGATACACTCCGAGCTCAAACCCACCTGGATTAAACGACATGATATAGTATGGCGAATGAACTGAGCGCCAGTCATCTTCGTCCTCGTGATACCTGGGGTCTACTACTGCCTTGAGAAGCTGACAGAATGAACAAGATGACAGCCATGTGCTTTCTTTTGGCTCTTCTAACTCTATAATTACTTCATTCGATTTTTCCATACCAAAAGTCTTCCAAGATCTCCCAAATAATGTATCAAGCTTGATGGTAGTGCATCTATCACATAGAGTGCCACATGCTTCGATCCCATCTTCAAAAGGTTCAGTCATGCTGAAGATTGCTTTCAAAGTTTTGAGAATCTTATATATAGTCGAGTTTAATAGTTACGCATATTATCAATAGCGACAGCATAATTTTATAAGTATACAAACAACTCAACACAAAGTCAGGAAACTTTGCAATGAGAATATTAGCAATAGGGACAGTTCAATGTTGTGATTTTAGTGGCGTTACGTTGACAACTCATATGTTTACGAGATTAATTGGTGCGAATTAGAGTTATCAGCGAAATAGTTTTAACCGGAGATTCGAATTGCGTATAAACAATCCCTCTACAATACTAATCATGCATACCATATTATATTAAATTGGTGATAGATCTTGAATCATTCAATCCTCAAATAAGAATTGATAGTAACTAATCTTCTCGAGACTTTTTGAATAAATATTGATATATGTGTTGAGCGTCATGGAAACTTTTAATTATTATCTTATAATAGCGGTATTATATATAAAAAGTACTTAATATGAAAGAGTAGAAGGCAGTAGGGTCATAGAGTAAAGTAAGTCTTGATATATATCTTAAAAAAGACACTATAGATGTAGCGCCTTCGCTAAAGGAGAGGAAAGAGAGGCTCTAGATAGCTCTCACGTAATATAGGGGAACAATTGAATGATAGGAACAGATTTACTTTTTCTAAACTACCTAGGAAGTCAGAATTTAAGTTACTCGTAGTCTTCATAAGTGATATAGCTTCTTCCATTTCGATGAATTCTCGGTTCATATAATCTCCTAAACTCGACGATACAAGATGTTCCAAGTATAACTGCTCTCAATGGTAACGAGCTATTGGGATAGTCATCATGTACGTGACTTAAAAATAGAAAAATAAAAGCGGTAAATATATGATACCGAAGAAGGCACTGACTGACAGTATCGTTGTCATTAACCGAAATATTTAAGGAGACTATATCATCTGACATCGACAACCGATCATTTACAAAAACATTAACAATCCCTTTCCAACATCAGCCTTAAATCAACAATACTCATATCCAACAACATTAAGTTTTTCCGGAGTCCGTCTCATAAACAATTACTCCAAGACCTCGCGCATAGATAAATCTTCTTAGGCCTACGTAACCAAATATGGCAGTAAAGAACGCGCTCGTCATCCCTATTTGAATTGGAGGAGAGGGAGTACTGATAAATTTTTCAATCTGATCTTTCCATTTGGTCTTTCATGATTCTTTAACATCTCAAGATACAACTCCATGAGCTAGGTAGTATGATGAACCGAAAGGCGAGAGCATAAACTACGTGTAAGCAGCTCATGGATGCGATTTACTATACAGATAAACCTAAACATTTCTCATCTCTAAATAATGATAAGTCTACTATAAATAATTCCTTTCTCTGATCTCTCGGAAACACTTCAACATAGGCAAGTGAGCCTGCACTCAAAGGCAGCTCAGGACTCAAATCATTACTTGAGTCTCTCTTCATCATGGGCCAGGGTGAACCGCTTCTTATACTATCAACTACAAGCTATCAAGTCCGAAAATCTATAGTTGGGCGTAAATTAACGATAGTAGAATGAACCTGGCTGACAGCAAGATTGCCCTGAGAATGAAGGGTATTTAGTGACAACTTGACTGACAGAGCTAAAGGTAAGAGCAGAATTTCCTAATTCCCACGCAATATTTGGAAATCTATAAGGATTATCGAATTTTGAGAGAATAGTGACTCCTCCATTCCTTTAATCTACAAGATCACCTAAAAGCAGAAGAGTGAAATCACCCATAAAAGTATACCAAGTAATTTTTCCTACTGCAGCTCTATACCTCCTCCCATCATTCAAATTCGAATTTTATACAGCGTTCCAACCTCCGTCTTCTCAACACACGCTATCAAACTCTTGAATCTCGATTCACCATCTGAAAATCGATGCCGGAGTGAATACCATACTCCCAGTCTCGGAGACATATACCCGTCTCCTAAGATCCAAAATTATTTCCTTTGTATGGATATGTATTCTCCCCTTTCAATCCGAAATTCACATACAACAATTATCC